CGGCGCAAGGCCAGCGCCAGCGGGACCATCAGCACCACACAAAGCGCACCGATCAACAGGTAGGTTTCTCGCCAGTCGTTGCTGACAAGGCTCCATTTAATGAAGGACGGCCAGAGAACCCCCGCAAGATAGTTGCCGCTTGCCGCGCAGGCTACCGCAAGTCCCCTGCGTTTCAGGAACCAGTGCGAGACGTCGGCCACGAGCGGGCCAAACGTTGCCGCTGTTCCGAGGCCGATCAATACGCCCTGGGCCACCGTAAACAGCAGGATATTCGGAGAAACGGCGGCAAGTGCAAAACCCGCCCCCAAAAACAGAGCAGACGCGATGACGGGTGGAACGATGCCGAACCTGTCGACAAATCGCCCGAGAATATAGTTTCCAACGGCAAAACCGACCATTGTTGCCGTGTAGGGAAGCGACGCACCGGCCCGGTCAACACCGAAATCCGTCTGAACGTCCGGAAGTACAATCACGACCACCCACATTCCGGCACCGCCTACGGTGCTCAAAAGAATTGAGATCGCGAGACGGAACCAGGCATAGGGCCCGTCTTGAACGTAAGGATCTGACACGGGGTGACCGGACATCTTTGGCTTTCAAACTGGGTATAGCCACCTGCGTATCAGGTTCGATGAAACCGGGCCAACAAATATCCTTGAAGTGATTGAGCAATTTCCTGAATGAATGGCCGGAGACATCAGCATGTCTCCGGCACTGCTACAACAAATTGAGATAAACTCACCGTTTAGGCGGACGACAGCAACTCGGCGACAAACGTTGAAACAGGTTTGGTCGGGCGTCTTATCAAGGCGCGAAGCGCCGTTGAAGCATTGTAAAGTTCTCCGGAAGCTGCTCCCCGGTCCGCGTCGGCAATCGCCCTGGCAAACGCCTCCGGCAAGCCTGCCCCCATGAGAACGCCGGCGTAGTCGTCCTCGGTCAGGTTTTGAAAAGGTATGTTCCGGCCGGTCTGTCTTGAAATTTCCGCTGAAAGCTCCGACAGGCTGATGGACTGATCTCCGGCAAGTTCCATCACCCGCGTCGACAGGTCGGCACCCGAAACAACGCGTGCGGCCGCCTCGGCGTAGTCTTCGCGTCCTGCAACAGAAATTCTGCCGTCTCCACTTGCACCGACAACAGCATCGTGCTGAAGCGCTGCTGCAACGGTGCCCGCATAGTTTTCAAGATACCATCCGTTCCGGAGAACCGCATGGGCGATACCGCTTTTTGACAGAATACTCTCGGTGTCGATGTGCTCGGCGGCGAGAACGAGGCTGGAGTTTGGTACATTCAGCAAGCTCGTATAGGTGATGAAACTCACACCTGCTGACTTCGCGGCCTCGATAACTGCTGCATGTTGGGCAACCCGTTGGCCGACTTCCGAGCCGGAAATCAGAAGCAGACGTGTGACACCTGCAAGACCTTCGGCAAGGCCGGAAGGATCGTTGTAGTCGAAACGCGACACACTGATCTGGCTGCTGACGAGATCCTGCGCTTTGTCCGGCGAGCGGACCAATGCCCGGACGGGTTCATGGGTGAGGATCGAAAGATGTTTCAGGACAAGGCGTCCGAGTTGGCCACTGGCACCCGTGACTGCAATCATTGAATGTCTCCTGGATTTCTGACTGAGGATCAATCGGATGCAGTTCATGTAGACTCAAAACTTACTTTTTGTTAGTACATACAAAAAGGTTAGTTTTGAGATTGCAGGTTCCATGAACGAAAAAAGTCTGACGAAGCCGGAGAACATGGACGTATCGGTGCCGGATAGGACGAACAGCGACGGGCAGGCATTGTCGGAAATGTTGCGGCGAGGGGAGTTGTTCAATCAGAACTGTCCTTCCCGGGAGATCCTGAAACATCTCACCAGCCGCTGGGGTGTGCTGGTGCTGATCGCGCTGCTGGATCGTGATCACCGGTTTTCGGACCTCAGACGCAAGGTCGGGGGCGTCAGTGAAAAGATGTTGGCACAAACACTCCAAACGCTGGAAGCAGATGGTTTCGTGAACCGCTTTTCGCATCCGGTCGTGCCGCCGCACGTTGACTACAGCCTGACACCGATCGGGCGTGAAGTTGCCTTGAAAGTGAGAGATTTTGCCGACTGGATCGAAGTGAATATCACGCGCATCCTGTCATCAAGATCGGTGAGTGGATCCGCATCGGAATAGGGCCGGGGTTTCCTGACCGGCCCGTTTATCCAGGTCGGCAGACCTGCGCGGTTTTTCGATTTTCAAGTTCAAGACGCAGGCACGCCTTTTCAGGCAGTGCGCCGGGCGTGGTTCGTTTTATTGCTGCTGGAAATGCGACACGGTGCAACTCTCTGGCCTTGCCGTCCTGAATCCCGATCACACGCAGCGTTCGGCGGTCATTGGAAGGCACCGCTATGTCAGTTCGTCCGTCTCCGTCAAAGTCGAGATCACCGGAAAGACCTTGCTCGCGGGCGCCGATTTGGTGATTTGAAAATCCGTTTATCGAAACGATCGGGACCAGGTCTGTACCACGCCACTCCACGAAATAAAGCGTTCCACCGATATGCGGTGTTTCAACGTAGGCGATCTGGGGTTTCCCGCGTCCGGCGTAGTCCGCGATTCCAGCAATATTGAGCCATCTGTTGGAGCGACCGATCGGCGCTGTTGCTGCCAGTTCCACCAGTTTACCGTCCCGCAGCCCATAAACTGCAACGCTTCCGCCAACCGACAGAAAAGACCGGATCGTGATCACCTCGAACTTTCCATCCTGATCCAGATCCACAATTCTGGGGGTTCTGTCTTCGAACACCTGGCTATCGGGCAAGACAAGTTCGTAGGTACCACCGTTCCGGACCGTGACATGAAGCGAACCTGCTTCGATCGCATCTCCCAGAATGCCGTGACGGTACCTTCGGGTGGGCGAGCCATACCACGCGGCAACAGCGTCTGGTTCGCCGTTCCGGTAGATGGCGTAGTTTCCGTCCGGCAAGCCGTTTGCAGGTTTTGCACTGCCCGTTGTCCAGACGGCCTGGGGAAGAGGCGAAGCGTTTGCAGGACCTGGCTGCAGTAACATCGCGACGGCAAGCAGTACAGAAAGGCCAACGAGTTTTTCCAAGACCATCTCCTATTCAGCAGCATTCAGGTTGGTGGGCTGGTCTCCGGCCGAAAGCAGACAGGTTTCGGTAGCCGCGTCCATCGGCACCATGAGTTCGATGGTCATTCCCTCGACAACGGCGTCCTGAACGGATGCGAGCTGTCCGATCATGGACGTCACCTGGAGCCGGACCCCGTCAGGCCCGAGCAGCTCAACAGGCACGAAGACCGGCACATCTTCGCGAAATGTCTCATCAAGCCCATCAAGCAGGCCGCTTGCGTGAGCCTCTTCCAGAAGGGTGGCGAGTTCGGGGTCGTCGGCCGCTTCCCTGTAGAGGCGAGCGGCGAAAACCGGCGCAGCTGCCTTCCAGTTGAGTATCCTTTCCCGGAAGGCAGGCGACAGAAAAACCCGGAAAAGGTTCGCAGGCTCGTTCTGTTCTCCCGTAATGCCGGCCAGAAACAGTTTGCCGGGACCATTGACCCTCAGAATCGTCCAGCGTTTGTCCAACACGAAGGCGGGAAAGGGCCAGTTCGCCAAAAGCCGGTTCTCGATCAGGTTCAGCGCATCCTGAACATCGCGGGAGTCTTCGGCACGGCATTTGTAAGGACTTGCGTATCCCGCAGTCTCGTAAAGGACGTGACCACGGCTGACTGGCAGGGCAAGCTCCCGCTCAATGCGCTGGATCATGAACCTGCTCGGCTGCGCACGTCCGGTTTCCAAGAACGAGACGCGCCGTTGGGTCGACCCGATGCGGCCTGCCAAGTCGGCCTGACTCAGGCTGCGCTCGCTGCGGAGCGATTTCAAAGACTTTCCGAATGCAGAGCCATACACGTTCATCTGTGGGTCCAAAAGCTGTCTCTATTCCCTGCAGGGGAATTGCCGCAGGTTCAGAAAAATCTAGGCTCCAGCCGACGTTCATTCAACACACGAACGCTGGAGTACGCGATGACGACATGGATCCTTGCAGTTCTGGTGCTGTATTTTGGCCAGATCTATTTCACCGCCTTGATGTATCTGCCATCGGCAGGGCTAGTGCGCCTCGCCGGTGGGCGGGATGTCTTGCCGGAGAAAGGCAGATTGGCGCTGCGAGCCGACAAGGCTCTCGTCAACATGAAGGAAAACCTGCCGTTTTTTCTCGTGCCGGCGGTTCTGTCTTTTGTCTTGCCGAATGTGAACCTCGGTCTGGCGCTGATCGGGGCGCAGCTGTTTTTCTGGGCGCGGCTCGCTTATGCGCCGCTTTATGTATCGGGAATTCCAGGGCCACGTTCCATCGCCTACGGGGTCGCACTGATTGGCAACCTCATGATGGTCTGGGCACTCTTCGGCGGTTGATAGGACAAGACACCTTGTGTCGCGCTGTCCGTGGACGGCCTGACCGGAACTGCCGGTCAGGTTGAATTCAGGTGTCTTCGCCAGACTTTGATGGGCGGCTTCCGCCGTGAACGAAGGTCATGGCATGTCCGTTAAGACAATATCGCAGTCCGGTCGGCTTTGGACCATCGGGAAACACATGCCCCAGATGGGCATCGCACTGACGACAGCGGATCTCTGTCCGGGTCATGCCGTGTGACTTGTCTTCCAGTTCCCGGATTGACTCGGGATGAACCGATTGAAAAAAACTGGGCCAACCGCATCCGGCATCGAACTTGGTGTCCGACATGAAAAGCGGCGCTTCGCAACACACGCAGTCATATCTCCCGACGAGCTTGTTGTCCCAATGGGGGCCCGTGAAGGGACGTTCTGTCCCGGATTGGCGTGTCACATAGAACTGCTCAGCCGTCAGCTGATTCATCCACTCGGCGGTGGTCTTTCTCACCTTGGGCGCTTCGTCTTCCGTGTGGGTGATGTCGTCGCTCATTGTGAAGTTCCTGGTTTCAATTTTCATGTGAAGAGATAGGACATTGCAGTCAAACGGCAATAAGGCGTGGATCAACAGTGCGTTAGCGGGACAGGGTGCGCATGACGGTTTTGACCCTGTTCCCGCCCTCCTGACGTGCCTGGAAAACACAATCTTCGGCTGCGGACAGAATGACTTCCGGACTTTCCGATATGCCGGTTTGTTCTGCCACGACACATGCGGCGCCAACGGATGCGGTGACGATACCGTTTCCCGCTGTGTTGGCAGGGTTCGGTATGGCGAGATCCTGGATGGCTATGTGAATGTACGCGCTGATGGTTTCCGCACCCATCTCGTGGGTTCTGGGCAGAAGAAGCGAGAATTCCGCTTCGGCTGTGCGCGCAGTAATGTCTGCCGGTCGGCGCGCTGTTTCCTTCAGCATTCCGGCTACCCTGGACAGGCAATCTTCCACCGCGCCGGGCCCATGGTTTTCGGCAAAGGATTCAAAGCGGTCGAGCGTGACCTTGATCAGGCTGGTGTGCGACTTTTCGCGCAGCGAGATTGCCCATTCCCGTTTCAAGTTGTCTTCAAAGGCACGACGATTGTACAGACCGGTAAGCGGATCGCTCTGCGAAGCAGCCTCGAGCAGGTTCTCCAACTCGCGCAGTCTTGCAATGCTGCGGAAATAGACAACATAGGCATAGGGTTTGCCGTGTCCGTCTTCCAGAAGGTGCACGGTGACCTCCGCCCAGACCAGTGAACCATAGGCTGACCTCAGTTGAAGATCCGCTTTCGGCAGCGTGACCGGACGAGCAGCGCTTCCGGACAAGATCAGATGCAGAGCCTCCGCGTCGGCGTTTTCCTCATCGATATAAACCAGATCGCTCATGTGATCGGCGAGGTTTGCCGAAGACCAGCCAAACAGCTTTTCGGCAGCCGGGGAAACAAAGGTTGGTTTTCCGTCCGGGGACAACACGATGACGGCGTCCGGACTCAGTTTGACAATTGCTTCGAAATCAATGCCAGGCGCGTGCAGCTGATCTGCCGCGGAAGATCTGTTCTTGTTGTGGTCCAACGCCATTACTGTCTCGCTCAGCATTCCTTGGCAACGCTACGTCCATGGCTTCGCTGTACCAAAACTGAACGGTATTTGGATTGCGAAATCAAGTGGCATCGAACGGGCCTATTTGCTCGGGAGGCGAAAAAGGCTCTTTGCTTTGGTTAATTTGCACAGAATGACAATAGCCGACGCGTCGAATTTATCGGGCTCGCTTCAAGACCATCCGCTCTCTTTGGCAGCTTTCACGTGACGAAACACCAGGGTAACCTCCGAACGAAGCAGTTCCGATGTCGAATTATTCCAAAAATCGTTCCTGAATCGCTTGAAGACGCGCAATCGTGTGCCTTAGACATGTCATAAATATTCCAGCCCGCTATTATTCAGCAAAAAGGTGTTGATTCGAGCGGGTTGACACCAGTCGGTCTATTTAAAACGTGACGAAAGATCAGTATGACGCCAGCAGTGATCGACGACACTACTTTATACGCCGTTCTGGCACCGTTCGCCGCAGCCGTGGTCGCTCCGTTTTTGACGCGCTTGCTCAAACACAATGCGGCCTGGCCACTTGCGCTGGTGCCGGCACTGATCTTCCTGCATTTCGTTGGTTTCATCGAGCCGGTGTCCCGGGGAGAGACGTTCGTGGCGGCCAAGGCGTGGGCGCCCAGCTACGGCATCAATTTTTCGGTTTACGTCGATGGCCTGTCAACACTCTTCGGCCTGCTGATCTCAGGTATCGGCACGTTCATCATTCTCTACGCGGGCGGTTATCTGAAAGGGCATCCTCAGCAGGGACGGTTCTTTTCATTCCTGTTCATGTTCATGGGAGCGATGCTCGGGCTCGTGCTCGGCAACAACCTGATCTCGCTGTTTATTTTCTGGGAGTTGACGTCGATCACGTCGTTCCTGCTGATCGGCTTCGATCACCTTCGTGCTGCCTCCAGAAGAGCTGCAATCCAGGCGCTTGTTGTGACCGGCGGCGGCGGGCTTGCCCTGCTGGCAGGCTTCATTCTGATCATCTCCGCGACCGGCGAGATCGAGATGTCCGTGCTGCTGGGCTCACCGGACATCATCAAGGATTCGGGGCTCTATCTGCCGATTTTCCTGCTGGTTCTTGGTGGTGCTTTCACGAAGTCGGCTCAGTTTCCGTTCCATTTCTGGTTGCCGAACGCGATGGAAGCGCCGACTCCGGTTTCCGCCTATCTCCACTCCGCGACCATGGTCAAGGCGGGCGTCTACATGCTGATGCGCATGCATCCGCTTCTCGGAGACACGGTACTCTGGACTACCGTGCTGCCCTTGTTCGGCGGTGTGACGCTTCTGGTCGGAACGATCCTTGCGGTCCGCCAGACGGACCTGAAGCTGATGCTGGCCTATACAACGGTGGCCTCGCTCGGGCTCCTCGTGATGCTCACCGGCACCAGTCATGAAAAAGCTCTCGAAGGCGCGGTTCTATATCTGCTGGCCCATTCGCTCTTCAAGGGGGCGCTCTTCATGGTCGCCGGCACGATCGATCATGAAGCAGGGACGCGGGATGTTACCAAGCTCGGTGGTCTCAGAAAGGCAATGCCTGTCACCTTTGTGGCAGCCTGTCTGGCGGCACTTTCCATGGCCGGACTGCCACCCTTTATCGGTTTCATAGCCAAGGAAGTGCTCTACTACGGGACCTGGGGTTGGCTGGAACTCGGATTGCCAATCACGATCACGGCCGTCGTCGGGAACTCGCTTATGCTGGTGATAGCGGCAGCGGTGGCGATCAAGCCGTTCTTCGGGCCCAAGGTCGAGACACCCAAACATGCGCATGAGGGACCGGTGCTTCTGTTTGCCGGGCCTGTTGTGCTGGCACTTACCGGCCTTTTCCTGGCATTCATCGCTCATACGACCGGTATCCTGTTCGTCGGTCCGACCCTGTCGTCGCTGTTGGGTACCTTCACCGAGGTGGATTTGCATCTGTGGCCTACCAAGATCAACGCGCCCTTGATCCTGTCGGTCATCACTATCGGTCTCGGTATCTTTCTGTTCACTCAACTGGACAGGCTGCGCGAGATCATCGCGTCCATCCTCAAGTCGATCGGCTGGGGACCGGACCAGGGGTTCGACCAGTTCGTGAGCGGGATCGTCCGGTTCGCCACATGGCTGACCAGGCTGGTTCAGACGGGCAAGATGCAGACCTACATGCTTCTGACTTTCTTTTTCACGGCACTGGCGGTGCTGCTGCCCGGCTACCTGACGAACAGTTTCCCGGCAATGCCGAAACTTCCAGAACACCGCTTCTACGAGTGGGGCATTCTCCTGATCGCGGTGCTCGGTCTTTTTGCAATCCTGGTTGCCAGAACCCGGCTGACGGCCATCGTGTCGCTTGGTGTCCAGGGCTTCGCCGTGGCTCTGATCTTCATGATGTTCGGTGCTCCGGACCTTTCCTTCACGCAGTTCATGGTGGAAACGCTCTCGGTCGTCATTCTGGCGCTCGTGATGACACGCCTCAATCTATCGCCACGTGACCATCGCACCGTTCCGGCGAGACTGCTGGCGGGTGTTGTTGCGGTTGCCGTCGGGCTTGGCCTTGGGTTGACGCTGCTTTCCATCACGCAACAGCCGTTCGACAGTACCTTGTCCGTGTTCTTCACGGAATTCAGCCGGTCGATTGCTCACGGACGCAACATCGTCAACGTGATCCTCGTTGATTTCCGCGGATTCGATACGCTCGGTGAAATCGCGGTCGTCGTCCTGGCCGGTCTGTGTGTCCTGGCTCTCATCAGGGTGCGGACCAAACCGGATACCGTGCTGGACCCGCCGCCTGAACGCACCGGTCAATCTCAAAATGCGGAGGCTCGCTGATGCGCACGGTCATTTTCCGCACCATTGCACCCTATCTTGCTGCGCTGATGGTTCTGTTTTCCATCTTCGTGCTCCTTCGCGGGCACAATGAGCCGGGAGGCGGATTCATCGGCGGGTTGATCGCGGCCTCGGCGCTGGCAATTTTCGGGATCGCCTGCGGTGTTGCTTCGGTGAGGCGGGCCATCGTGTTTCACCCGATGGGTATTTCCGGGTTCGGGCTGTTCATCGGAGCGCTTGCCGGCGTCGTGTCCTTCTTCAGGGGACAGGCCTTCATGACAAGCCAGTGGCTGATATTCGATTTCTTTGATGTCGAGGTTGCCCTGTCGACGCCGCTTGTCTTCGATATCGGCGTCTACCTCGTGGTCGTCGGGGCAATCGGCTCCATCGCCCTTGCGCTGGAAGAAAGGGAGTCGGACTGATGGAAACCGGCGTCACAGTCCTGATCAGCCTGTTCTTTATGGTTGCTGTCTATCTCATGCTGTCCAAGCAGCTCGTGCGGATCTTGCTCGGCATTGCCATCCTCGGAAATGCGGTGAACATGCTCATATTCACCAATGGGCGGCTCACGCGGGAAATACCACCACTGATCCCGGCGCATCTCTACACGCCGGAAACGGCAACGGCCAATCCACTGCCGCAGGCTCTGGTTCTGACCGCGATCGTGATCTCGTTTTCGTTTTTTGCATTTCTCCTGGTTCTGGCGTTTCGCGCGTATCAGGAACTTGGAACCGACGAGGTCAACAAGATGCGTGTGGCCGAACCTGAAAACGACCAAACTCCGCCTCAAGGGTACTAAGCTTTATGGCAGGCTCTTCTGTTTCCGTTGACTATGCCGACGCAATGATCACGACGCCCATCGCGGCGGGGGACTGGCTCATTGTCGCGCCGTCCCTGATCACGATGCTCGGCGGGGCGCTTTGCCTGATGTTGCGCAAGCACACCGATCTTCAGCCGAAGCTTGGCATAACGCTGCTCGGCGCGCTCGTTCTGGCCAGCTTTGCATTGCTGGTCCGGGTTCTGGACCACGGCGTCATCACGATGGTGATGGGCAACTGGTTGCCGCCTTTCGGGATCGCGGTGACCGCCGACACCCTTGGAGCCACCCTGACATTCATCGGCTCGGTTGTTGCCTTTTGTGCCGGTGTGTTCGGCATGAAGACGGTCAGCAATTCCGGACGCAGATACGGGTTCTATCCGTTCCTTTTGCTGCTCATGACAGGGGTGTGCGGGTCCTTCCTGACAGCCGATATCTTCAACCTTTATGTCTGGTTCGAGGTTCTGCTGATTTCGTCCTACGGCCTGCTCATTCTCGGCAATGACCGGATCCAGCTGGACGGAGCCGTGAAATACGGTGTGCTCAACCTGGTCGGGACCAACCTGTTTCTGATCGCAACGGGCCTGCTTTACGGTATTTTCGGTACACTCAACATGGCCGATATCGCCATCAAGGTTGCCGAACTGGAAAACCCGGCCTCGGGAACACTTGCAACCGTTGCAGCGCTTTATTTTCTTGCCTTTGCCATGAAGGCGGCCGCCTTTCCCGTCAATTTCTGGCTGCCGGCCTCCTATCATACGCCGAACATCGTTGTGTCCGCCGTGTTTGCAGGACTGCTGACAAAGGTCGGTGTCTATGCCCTGATCAGGATCTTTGTACTCATCCTGCCTGCTTCACTCGGCTACATGGCCGATATATTCGGCCTGGTTGCCATCGTTACGCTGATGACCGGTGCGCTGGGCGCTCTGGCACAGACCGAGATCAGGAGGTTGCTGGGGTATCTGGTCATCGCCGGGATCGGATCGATGCTGGCGGGCGTTGCTGTTGCATCCAACAGCGAGGTCGCCACCCTGGCCATATCGGGCGCAATTTTCTATGCGGTGCATTCCATCATTGTGATGACAGCGCTCTACATGTCCGCCGGGATCATGAACATGATGGGTGGCTCCTACAATCTCAGGAAGCTGGGAGGGCTCTATCAGAAGAGCATTGCGTTTGCGGGCGTGTTTCTGATTTTGGCATTTGCCGTGTCGGGCCTGCCGCCCTTTTCCGGCTTCTGGCCGAAGATCATGCTGGTCGACGCCGCTTTCAAAGATGACCGGTTCTGGCTGGGAGCAGCCATTCTTGTCAGCGGTTTCCTGACGACACTTGCCATGGGGCGCATCTGGATTTTCGCTTTCTGGCGGGGCGGGCCGGAAGGCACGCCCGATGGACAAAGCGTCGAGGTGTCCGGGTCATCGCAATCGGATCTTGCAAGCGGTGCGATCTGGCTGCCTCTGGGCATTCTCACCGCACTTGTCGTCTATTTCGGCATTCAACCGGAATGGATGATAGAATTATCGACGCAGGGTGCGAGCAGTGTCGTTGATCCGTTCGGCTACATTCGCTCAGTCTTTGGAGAGCAGGGATGACGAGCCTCTTTCTCATCAACATTCTCATGGCGCTGGCCTGGGGAGCTGTTACAGGCAGTTTTTCGGAGGTCAATCTCGCTTTCGGATTTGTGCTTGGGTCAGGGGCGCTCTATCTGATCCGGGAGCAAGTGGGCACGTCGGCGTATTTTCGGCGGTTCGGAAAATCGGTCGGGCTGGCCGTAACCTTCGTACGGGAACTGGTCCTGTCGGCCTGGAGGGTCGCGTTGATCGTGCTCAGGCCAAAAATCGAGCTTGAGCCGGGCATCATTGCTCTCCCGTTGACTGTCGACACGGATTTCGAAATCACAATGCTTGCAAATCTCATTACCCTGACGCCCGGCACATTGTCGGTGGATGTATCGGAGGATCGCAAGACGCTCTTCATCCACTGCATTGACGTTCCGGATCCGCAGGCAACGATCGATGACATCAAGAACGGATTTGAGCGCAAGATCATGGAGGCATTCAGATGACCCCATTTGAGTTGTTTGCGTCTCAGTTCCTGGGCATTGCAGTCAAGATTTCGCTTGGAATTCTGACTGTCGCCTTCATGGTGATCGTTTACAGGACAGTCAAAGGACCCGGGTTGCCTGACAGGGTCGTTGCGCTGGACATGCTTGTTGCCGTCGGTATCGGCTTCATTGCCGCAATCGGCGTTTCCACGGGAATCTATCTCTATATCGATATTGCCATCACGCTGGGCCTCGTCGGCTTCCTGGCAACGGTGGCGTTTGCACGTTTCATCCTCAACCGGGGAATGGCGGGTGACGAAACCATCATGGAAGAGGTCGAGGAAAGCATCAAACGCAGGGAGGCAGGCCAATGAGTGCGATCGTTGATATCGTAACCGGTCTGATGCTGATCACAGGTGCATGTTTTGCCTTTGTCGCCTCGCTCGGTCTCGTCCGGCTGAAGGACGTGTACATGCGAACACATGCCGCATCAAAGGCCGGCACACTCGGCTCGGGCCTCATGCTGCTTGCGCTGGCTGTGGAGGCCGGCGACCTTTCCGTTGTGACACGCGCTATTGCCGGTGTCGTCTTCTTCCTGCTGACAGCCCCAATTTCGGCCCATTTATTGGCAAAAGCTGCATATGCGGCAGGATATCGCCCCTGCGCTGAGACCAAAATCGACGCATTGGCCGAGACCGTTCGGCCAAAGGAGTGAGCTTGGGCGCACAACAGCCTTGCGAAACCGGAAGACTGGCGTAAGGGAATACTATTAGTCCATTGTCGATTTCGATATATACGAAATAGTCGGTATTTATAGAATTTGATTATTATTGCCGAGAAATGTTTTTTATTTGATTTTCGGGGTTGTATAAGAAGGAAAGCAGCGATATAAGGCTGTGACAATCACCTGCAAAGTAGAATCGCTATTGATTTCTAATTCCGCAAGTAACGTAATTTTTCAAGCGTTTTCGGAACAAATTACTTGCAGGTTTACACCGAAGCTTAATTCAAATTTGGAAGAGAACGGGTGAAATATGACTGACAATCCGGTGGATGCTAATCTGATTGATCTTACGGCGGACATCGTCTCTGCATATGTGAGCAACAATACGGTTGCTTCAACTGATCTGCCGAGCCTGATCAATGAAGTGCATGGCGCGCTGCAGAAAACGGCATCCGCTTCCAACGAGCCGGAGCCGGAGCCGCTCAAGCCCGCTGTCCCGGTCAAGAAATCGGTCATGCCCGACTACATCATCTGCCTGGAAGACGGCAAGAAGTTCAAGTCTCTCAAGCGTCACCTGCGTACTCATTACAACATGACGCCGGAAGAATACCGGGACAAGTGGGACCTTGGTGCCGACTATCCGATGGTTGCACCGAATTACGCAGCTGCCCGTTCGGAACTTGCCAAGAAAATGGGTCTCGGACAGCAGCGCAAGCGCTCCAAGTAAGATCCGGTCAGGCCAAAATACTGATGAAGAGAGCTGCCCACCGGCAGCTCTTTTTTTGCGCGGATATTTCTAGCGTTTCAGCAATGCCTCAAGGCCAGCAAGCTGGTAGCGCCAGAAGAGCGCAAATGCATGCCTTATGTCGGCAGGATCCTCATATTCGGCGAGGATATCTGCAATGGTCTCGACTGTTCTGTTGAAGAGTTTGTGCGTGAGAAACTGCAACTGGGCATCCGGATAAGGTGTATCCGATTGGTGACGAAGGAAGTCGTCCGTCAACCGTTCCATTTCGTTGACTACGAGGCTGCGGACATGTGCAAATCTGGTTGCCTTTGAACCGCGCAGGAGAATGAGCACAACGGCACGGTTGTCGGCGCAGAAGTTCAGAAACGCGTTTGCACTTTCGGATCCCTTCGCATCGGCACCGGGCCAATGATCGATCCTGCCGAGTTCACGGATACGCGTGCGCAGAAGTTTCAGGAATGTTGCAGCCAGACGAGGACTGACAACCGCCTCAAACAGCACTTCCTTGTTTTCGAAATACTTGTAGATGTTGCTGGTAGCGGTGCCCGATCTGCCCGCGACTTCCGCCAGTTTCGCATCCTTGTAACCATGCTCGGCAAAAACATCGGCCGCGGCAAGGAGGATCCGTTCCCGAACCTCCGACTTCAGGCGTTGTGGCATAAGAGATCTTTCGTCAGTTCCTCAAGACGGTGCTTCCAGGGACGAGCCTGTTCGAGCTGATAGGCCAGAGAAAAAAGGAGCGGTTCCTTACCGGATGGCGCTGTGAAATGACTACCGACAGGCAGCCCTTTGTCAGTCCAGTGAAGGGGAACGGTCATCGCCGGCCAGCCAGTCAGGGAAGAGACAAATGTGTATCCAGCAAGTCTTGCGGTGAAAGCCTGTAGGACTTTGACATCAGTTTCCGGACCATATCGGCCAAGCGGAAAGGCTTCGAAGGGTACCGTGGGGCTCAGAACAACGTCGCATTGTTGCATCGAGCGTTCTGCGTTTGCGGCGTTTTTTGCCAACACTGATTGTGCCATTTCGATATCTGCAGGCGCCAGATCACTAGCGCGCCGGGCAATTTCCAATGTATAGGGCTCCAGCCCATCCTCGTCATAGGCGTTGCCCATCATGTTGCGAATTTGAGCGAATACACCTGATAGCATCAATCCCGTCAGGTCAAAGAATGCGTCAACAGTCGTCTCGGGATCGAAACACGGCGCCTTGATCTCGAAAACATCGCAACCGATTGTTTCGCAAAGCAGGGCGGTTTCATGAAGTGCTGCTTCCACCTCCGGCGTGGGGGACAGACCCAGGCTGTCATTGCGATAAAATCCGATGCGGACATTTTTCGGAAAGGACGATCGCAGGTGTTCCAGTGACGGTAGTCTGGTCGAAAGATGCCGGTTTTCAGTCATTTGCAGCCATCGGGCGCTGTCTCGAACGGAGCGGCTTACGCAGTGTTCGGCCAGGAGCGCGGCTGTTGGCATCTCGGCTGGAACACCGTTTGACACCGTTCTGTTGCGACCTGGTTTGAAACCGAAGAGGCCGCAGAAAGAAGAAGGGCCCCGGATCGAGCCTCCGCCATCGGATGCATGTGCTATCGGAACCATGCCTGCGGCGACCGCCGCAACCGCACCGCCCGACGACCCTCCCGGAGACAACGTGATGTCCCAAGGGTTCCGTGTCGCGCCTTTGGCGAGTGTTTCGGTTGTTCCAAGAAGTCCGAATTCCGAGACGGTGCTTTTTCCCAATGCAATCAGGCCGCTTGCCTGAAGGGTGTCCGCATAGTCGGAGCTGGTGAGTGCCGGTGCTCCGTCCAGTAGGCGAGATCCGAAACCAGCTGTGTGCCCGGGATAAGGAAGCAGATCCTTGATAAGGGTGGGAACACCGGAGAAGGGCTCTTTTCCGGTAACGGATTTGGCCTGCTGCCGCGCCAGATCGAAATTCGAGCACGCGATTGCATTGACTTTCGGATTCAACACGGCAATCCGCCCGATCGCCGCCTCAACAAGTTCCAGACTGGTTGCCTCGCCACTTTGGACCAGGTTCGCCTGTTCTGTTGCATCCATGAGTGCAAAAGGGTCGGCGATGGGACCGGCGCCGGACCTGTCGGAATAATCCATGAAGGGCCTCTGTTACGAAAAGAGAATTAATGATTCTCTTTTAACATGTAGCCTGTGTTTGCGAAAGAGGGGATGGTGACAGCAATGGAAATTTCAAAAATTGACCGAATTGAGTTGGGTCGAAGGGGAGTTGATTTTCAACACCGGGAAGGTGACTTGAAGCGGAATTCAGGCAAAGGCTGTGCGTACCCGTGCTGCCCGTCCATTGAATGCGACGATGGACATTGACCACCCGAACGCCTGAACGTGTGAATTCGCAGGAACGCTATCTGGCAGTTTGAGGCCAACCGCACAGTGAGGGAGTGTTGGAAGACCCTCGGTCCTGGACACTGCTGATCATCGGCGGAGCGAAATGACTGCCACGAACGCTCGATTGCCAAGGATACAACTCAGCAATGGTTGCTTCGTCAGCACTTGAGTGCGGCAGTTCGATCAGACCTATTCAGGCAACCGCAAGAGCGTTTTGCGCATCAGTGCGAATACGTCCGACCATGGACCTGAGCCCATTCGACCTTTGCGGGGTCAAATGATCCTGCAATCCAAGCTTGGCGAAAAGGCTTTCAACATCGGTATCGAGAATTTCCCGAGCGGTTTTACCGTTGAACAGGGTTGTGACAATCGCAACAAGACCCTGAACGATCAGCGCATCACTGTCACCTTTGAATGTCAGGACCGATTTTCCGTCTGCTCCTGCTTTCACATTCGTGATCAGCCAGACCTGGGACACGCACCCGCGCACCTTGTTTGCATCGATCCGTTCGTCTGAGGACAGTTCGGGCAATTCCCTGCCCAGGTCGATCAGATATTTGTAACGGTCTTCCCAATCGTCCAGAAAATCGAATGTCTCAAGAATTTCGCTGATATCGGTGGTCATGACACTCATCTTTGAAGGGCTGTTCCGCCTTCATATAGCCTGCATGTCACAAAGTGCAAATCCGGGCAGCAGCAACAGGATTTGCCGGGCGAAAAAGATTGAAGGACTTTGGCAAAAGAAAAAATCGCCGCAGATGAAATGGGCAGCTTTCCATCTGCGGCGCAGCGGTACGAGCCGCTGAAGTTAAGCCGTCGCTGCTGCATATGTGCAACATCGCTCTAGCGGGGCGCAAAGAGCCGTTGTTCCAGAGGCAACGATCCGCGAACAACGACTTGTCGGCTCAGGTGTCCTGACCTGAGCGTGGTTTGGGCCGGGGAACCGGCCCGCCGGCAGTCTCCACTTGGGAGCCCGGATCTTGAATCTGATTGAAAGACCCCTGGCCGTTTGAACCTTGGCCGGAAGCTAGGGGGCGGACCGGAGTGGTGGAGCCCGTTGTCAGCGTTTCATTCGCCGATCGATCCGCAATTTTCGTGTCGAGGAACTCATAGACGATGCGAGCGCCGTCTTGTGCCCGGCTGCCAATGACGCTCAGGGCATTGCCGCCGGTTTCGCAGGCCTGCGGGTTTCGGCTGCAGAAGCCGCCGATATCTGACATGGTCGCCTGCGCGGCCAGGAAGGCCGACACCGGATCAACGTCCGCGGCCCTTTCGTTTGTGCTCTCGTCATCCGAGCCAAGCGGAATCAGAACCAGCACCAAGGTGAGCCAGAAGGCCGTCCTCAGAAGAAACAACATTTTTGCTACCCATAGTCTGTTCGATGCCGCGTGCCATTTTTGTCCCGGCACGCTTGTTATGGTTGAACCGTAGCAGACACTTGAGAATGTCGAGTTGAGTGCTTGAAGCGAATTTTCATAAAATAAATCAGGTATTTAAATCGTATTTTTTGAAATATTGATTCAAATTTTATCTATGTTGCGACAAGTGCCTGAAAACAGACCGGTTTCGCATTTTTTTCCCGGTTTGGTTTTAACCTTTATCGTTCGTTAAGCGCTGGAGCCGACAATGATCAAACAGGAGTTGTGAGCGGAAGTATCCGCGATATTCGTTTGGTAGTGTAGAGTGCGTAACCTTCTGAAAAAAATACATAATTTTTGGGAGTTCTGTGCGGCTCGTGTCGACGGAATGATTCACCCCTCGGCTGCGGTCGAGAATTTTTCGGCACCGTTGCATCGTTCGTTTCTGACAAGCTGTTTCTTGAGCGGGTCTGCGGCCCTGTTCATTCTGCCGTTGCACCTTGCCCTTGCAGGCGCACCTCATGTCGCAACGATCCTGGTTCTGGCATGGATGCTGAGCCAATGGCCCATTGCGCACTACCTGTCGCGCTCCGGTGATCTGGACAAGGCGATCGCCGCGTCGTCGGGTCTGTTTGCCTTCTTTGTCGCCACCATCTGCATGATGACCGGCGGGGACAGTTCGTTTGCGCTGCTTTGGCTGCTTGTTCCTCCGATTGAGGCGGCATTCGCGTCAAGCAGAAGGGTCACAATCGGTATTGCTGCATTGTGCTGCGGCCTGTTCGGGATCGTTTCGATTTTCACCAGCCATGTGCCGCAACTCATGGTCCTTTCTCCGGAAACTCGCCTGATCGCAACCGCTGCGGCCCTGGTCTATACAGGTATGCTGGCGGTCAGGATATCGCTCGACCGCAAGCGCGCGCGCGCAGCAGTTGCGGCTTCAGAGACGCTGCGACGCCGTGTTTGCGACAACATTTCCGAGATTTTCTGTGAAATCGCTCAGGATGGCCGTGTGTCGGTCATCGGAGGCCCGGTTCGGAAAGTGCTGGGTTTTGTGCCGTCGAAAACCGAAGCTGATTGGCTCTTTCATCGGCTTCACGTTGCTGATCGGCCCAGCTTTTTGAGCAGGCTTGCCGACGCCAAGGAAGGTCATGAAGCTTCCCTGTTCCAGGTTCGGTTCCGTATCGGAGACAACCGGCCGGGCGACAACGGTCAAGCGGTCTATCGTGGCTTCGAACTGATGATGAAGCCTGCAGGTGAACAGGACAGCTGTGATGGTAGCGGAATGGTTGTTCTCACTCTTCGCGACGTGGAAGCGGACAAAACGCTGCTAGCCGATCCGGAGATCGGGACCGAAAAGGGGCGCCGTGGCAACATTCGCTGGAACATCATCGAGGAAGCCGGTGCTTCGGTACAGGCACAAATGTCCGAAATAGTTGATCTTGCCACGATGGTGGAAACCAGGGGCAAGTCCTTGTCAGAGGGCAGTCTGCATCAGACTGCGCAGCGTATCAGGTCTGCCGGAAACCGCAGTTCGGAGTCCTTGAGTGCAATTCTTGACCTTGTACCGGGAGAGACGGTACGGGCGGCAACGGATCTCTGTAATGTCGATGTCGCCGACTGTCTCAGACACAGCAGCCACCTCATCTATCCGATTGCCGAACGGCTGAGGGTCGGGATAGAGATAAATGCAGATCCGGACCTTCCCAACGCGCTTGTCGACCGGAAGAGATTTCGCCAGGCTCTTCACCTGATACTCTCTGAAATGGTGGAGACCACGGGCGCTGGTGGAAGTGTCAAGGTTTCAGTCAATCCGGTCGAGAGCGGACTGGAATTGATATTGACAGCGGTCAACCGTCAATCGAGCACCAACTGGAGTTCGGAAGGATCGCAAGGCGTGCTCGAGCAGGCGTCGGATCTGCTTGCGCAATCAGGTTCTGTTCTCGATTTCCGGTCAGCGCTTGGCCAAGGCGAGAGCGTCGTTGTGGCAATACCCGTACGCTTCGAAAGAAACGTGCGTGGTACGACAGTCGGCGCCACAGCGACGGCTCGACAGCTGGCGCGAACGGCATAGGCGGCATGATGGCAAAATCAAAAACAAAAGCGGCTCCGCCCAAAACACAAGAAACGCTTATGGCGAAGGCCGGGCACCTGGCGTTGGACAATCCTGTTGCTGCAGGAGGCACCGTTGTCATGGGGCTGACGGCCTGTCTGATCATTGCCAATGCAATAGGCCTGCAGCCCGGCCGCCACCCGGCACCGATCTTTGCGACACGTGATCGTCCGAATGCTCTGCGGGTCCCCGAACCTGATGACCGGCGCAGCGGATTGCAGGTTCAGGAGATCTCGACCCTGGTGCTCGACCTGCAGATTTCGCTTCGAAGGATAGGTCTTTACGAAGGACCTCTCGACGGGCTCAGCGGGCCTGCAACCGAGCGCGCCATACGTGCCTTTGAGCGGCGTGCGGGGCAAGCGGAAACAGGCAAGGCTCACGAAGGCCTGCTCGCCCTGATCTTGATGCACGGCGACGAACCAGCCGAATCGTTTGTTCCGGTCCCGCGCGCCAAGCCGGGTTTTTCCGGCACATCTGTGCAAGACATACCGGTCGCTTCGGATGTCGATGTCGACGCCAACCCGCAACTCATGAGGATCCAGAAAGCCTTGTCAGACCTTGGCTATGGGCCGCTGAAAGCTGATGGTGTCATGGGTTCCAATACGACAGCTGCCATCAAGCGTTTCGAGCTGGACCGTGGCCTGCCGTTAACCGGAGAGCCCGGTTCGAAAACAATCGAAAATCTGGAAATGATCAGTGGCCGGAGCCTGTCAGGCTAATTGCCAAGACCTCCGAAACGGCTTAAGTCCGACTGCAGTCAGGCCTGCGGTCGTGGCTAAACCTGACCAGAAACGGATACGCGATGCGGGTCACTTCGGAATTCTTTGTCAGCGCACTTGTTCGCCGAATTTTCGGGGAGGGGGGCTTTGCGGCAATTTCCAGGCGTGGTGCGGAGGAGGCCGGTGCGGTCTTTGTCTGCGTTGACCGGCTTGACGGAACCTACGACCTCTACGGGCCGGCGCCTCAGGCAATGTTCCACGAACAGCCCCTGGGACGTCTCTTCGAAAGCGTTCTCGCGCAATGCGAAAAATCTGCAATCGACATTCGATTGCAGAATGAGGCCCGCATGGATCCTGATTATTGGCTGGTCGAAATCGAAGCCCGAAACGGTGACATTGACCTGCCAATCGCGCGCGAAGAAGACGAGAAGAAAAACGTTCCCGGTTCGGATGTCTTCCGGATCTAGGACGTTTTCAAATCTGTTCAGCCTTCGCTGGATTTTGCGAAACGTACCTTTTTCCTGGTATTCGCTCCACGGTCGGCCAGAGGCGTCTTGACCGGCAGCTTGCGGCCCGAAGCATCCTGATATTGAGAAGAATGGCGGGCTGCGGTTCTCTGATTGCCCTGATCGTGCAAAAGCCATTGTCCGACCAGCGCTTCCGCAGCTCCGTTGCTAAGGGTTCGGTGCATTCTCAAGAGACCGCGCAGATCGATGAGTTGCGTGTTTTCGCCCAGCATCCTGATGAGGATTGTTGTCGTCTCGAACTCTGGCATACCAAGCGCCTTGAGGGCGATTGTGAGACCTTCTCCCTGGTCCTCGTGCATCAGAAGGTTGCAAGTTTGTCTCGACAAACCAAGGGATTGGCTCAGCAACGTGGCAAAACTGGTTCTGTTTTGATCAAGCGCGGCTTTCACCAGGACTTCCTGGATCTGAAGACGGTTCATATCGGGTCGCTGGGACATTGTTCCACCTGGTGTCTGCGCCTGTTTGACGAGGCTGGTCATTTCGGCTGTGGCGATCGCCTGCTTTTTCAAGGGTGCCGGCAGATGCAGGAACTGACCCATCAGGCCGTCGGGATGAAGGGCATCCCTGCCGGCAAGTTCCAGACCGAGGGTCGCGACGATTTCGCTTCTTCGGCTGAGTTTTGCCTGATGGGTCTTGCTGAGCGTGATGTCATCGCGCCCAAGCAGAATTTTGATGACGCTGGCCTCGGCGTGGTCACACAGGGCATCGATCACCGATTCGCGTAGTGACGGGCGTTCGGCAATTGCCTGTCTCGATAACTCCGGGCCATTGTTGGCAAGTGCCTTGAGGAGATCCACAGAAAGCCTGGGACTGTTGCGAAGCGCGGGAGCGGCGGTCTGCGGATCGTCATCGCGCGCGAGAACCTCCTGCAGATCGTCCGGTATTTCGGCGTGACCAGACAGAAGTTTTGAAATTTCGCGACGATCTTCAATGGGAGTGTCCGGCAGGAGGTTTCGCGCCAATTCCAGAAAAATCCCTGTTTCTTCAATGGTATGCTTCCTAAGGCCGACAAAGATCTCCGTGGCAGAAAGCAAAATGTGCCGGGCTGAACGAGACGCGGACCTTCTGCGGGACGCCTTTGTTGCTGGCGGCTCTTTTGGATTGAATCGTTGGCTTTGGCGCATGACACCCGTCTACAAAATACGAAAGACCGATCGACCGTCGAAAGTTGTTTCCTTCAAATTGCAGCAAAAGCGTTAGCATGCTGTTAACCCTGACAGCTTCTTAATGAGCTTGCAGGAAGTAATGCGTCGCCCGTTTGACCGTTTCCTCCCGGTAATACGCCGGAGAGGCGACTGGAACCGAAGGAGGAGACGATGGGCACCTTGTTGGATTTTTCGTCCGCTCAACGGCCCACTGCGCGTGTGGGTCAACAATCAAAACGGCAACGATCAGAGAGCCGGGAGAGCTTTGGAGAGGTTATCCTCTTTCCAGGTGTCCGTTACGAGCATCACGACCTTGATCTTGCCGCACGAATCGCGACCATCGGTAAGGCAGCTGGACCTGCTGGTTCCGACAAGGACTGACGGTCCAAGCCTTTCCAGCCGCTTCGGGACGTAATGCCCGAACAACGAATGCGTTTGCGGTCTGGAGACACGCCCGATGGGCTATGGCAATGCGGTTCAGAAAAGCCATGCCTTTGATGAAAGGCAGAGGTTCGGAGTTGATCTGGGGTGGTTTCGTGCCATCCTGTTGACGTCCGTTCTGGCACTGGCTGCGTGCACACGCCCAACAGGCGATTTCGACAGGGCAAGACCATCGGTCATTCACGATGATCTTATGCCGGCTGTCGGAGAAAATGCGGCACGGTTGCGGGGCGATCCCGTTTCGAAATTCAATTACACGAATGATGAAAAACTGCTCCGCGACCGGGGGTGGACGCTGATCCGTCCACCATGGACCAAGGACTGGATCGGCGGGACAATGGTAGAATTGTCACGTACGCGGGTCCTGCCGGAAACAGAAGGTCGGGTGCCGCCTGACCTCTATCTAATCTATCTGCGTTCCGACAAGTTTCGGTCATCCGATGCGCGCTACGACAAGATCGCTGCCGACGCGACCGGAGACGCATCACTGGTCATGCCTTTTTGTGAAGTTGCGCTACGCGTGCAAAAAGCCGACGACGAACGGTTGAGAGTTCTGAGAAACCAGAAAGTCACCACCGAGGAAACCTATGACGGTGCCAAGGCACGGGTTTGGGAAAACCGGGTCATGATAAAATGGGTCGGTCAGGCACTGCGTTACAGGATCATTGCCTACAAGAAAGCCCTCAAGGGACTGGAAATCGAAACTCCGAGCCAGGACAGGGTCTGGAAGGTCAACAACGCCATCCGGGAACTGGAGGGTCAGGTTCGCCTTGCAGAAGCCAGCTGTGAGGCGAACAATCGCTATGGTCAGGACAAGCCGGCCAAGAAGTCCCGGATCTACACGGGTTGGGGTAACGAGCGGCCGCCCGTTCAGAAGTGATTTCACGCAATTCGACATTGATCCGACGGTAAAATAGACCGGGCTGTGATTGCACTTTTGCGAGCGCGGCAGTATTGCAGGGTGAGGCGACCGCGTGGAGGCAGATAGACCCTTTGCCCGCGAGTCCGTCCCTTGTTTTTTGCAGACCCAGAACGTTTCAGGAGCTTTCATGAACCCGGGTGTAACGCAGCTTGTACAGGAAGCACTTAGCCACCAGCACGCTGGACGTATTCCCATAGCCCTGAACATGTTCGAGGAGGTCCTGCGCCTCGACCCCCGTAATCCGCAGGCAAATTTTTCGCTCGGTATTGCAGCTTACCAGGAAGGCAAGATCGGCCTTGCCATCGAGCGGCTGCAGATTGCCGCGCGCAAAGCAGCGAAGCATCCGCAGGTGCATCAGCTCCTCGGTCTGGCGCTGATGAACGCGGGAGATCTTGAGGGTGCACAATCATCGCTCAAGAAGGCGGTGTCGCTAGCGCCCAAGGAAGCTGATTTTCACGCACAACTCGGCGACCTCTACAGGGCCAGGAGGCAAGCCGTTCTGTCGCGTCAAAGCTACCTGCGCGCCCTGAAGCTGGACCCGGAGAACGGGTACGGCCTGGTGGGAATGGGCCAACTGGAGGTGACGATCGGGAATATCGATGCGGCAATCGAGTGGTTTGAAAAGGCGATCGCCTGCAAGAAGGAACTGCCGACTGCGTTTCAATGCCTCAGCCTTGCAAAGACCTTCAAGGAAAAGCCCGCAGAGCTTGACCAGATCGAGGCGCTCACGAATGACGGTGTCCCCCGTCCGGGGCCCGAGCAGGCCAATCTGCACTGGGCAGCAGGGAAGATCTATCACGACATCGGTGACACTTCCCGTGGCCTGGAGCATTATCAAAAGGCACGGACGCTGCACTATCCGCCATTTGATCCCGCTGCCTATGAAGATCGAATTGCGTTCATGAAGGACGTCTTCAACGAAGAGTTTTTTTCGAGCCGGGCGGATTTGGCAAATACCTCCGACAAGCCCGTCTTCATCTTTGGACTGCCGAGGTCCGGCACCACGCTGGTGGAGCAGATTGTTAGTTGCCATTCCCGCGCTTCAAGCGGTGGTGAAATCCAGTTTTTCAGGCATTTGCAGGAGGATATCGGTTTGAAAGGAAAGCCGAGCGCAGCCCTGGAAAACCGTCTGAAGAGCATGGAGCCAAAGGAATTCAAGCGCATTGCCCGCAAATATCTGGAGGTGCTGGACAGTGTCGACAGGCGAGCAGACCGAGTTACGGACAAGATGCCTCACAATTATGAAATGCTCTGGCTGATGAGTGTGCTGTTTCCCAAGGCAGCGTTCGTCCATTGCTACAGGTCTCCGGCCGATACCTGCATTTCATTGCTGTCGCATCCGCTTTCGCCGGCTCACAACTATGCCCTGACCCAGGATACGGTCGGGCGCTACTACCGCACCTATGCCTCCTTGATGGAGCATTGGGAGAACGTGGTTCCGGTCAATCTTCACACGCTGACCTACGAAACGCTTGTCGACAACCAACGCAGTGAGAGCGAAGTTCTGCTATCGCATGCCGGACTTGACTGGGAAGACGGTTGTCTTGAGTTCTACAAAAGTGAAAGCCCGGTAACGACATTTTCCAACACGCAGGTGCGCCGGCCGATCTTCAGGTCATCGCTGGGAAGATGGCAAGGCAAGGAAGCGCATTACAGGGACCTGCTTGACGCGCTTGGTCCGCTGGCACCGCAAGTTTGATCGTTCCGGATTTGCAGACGCCCCGCCCGGGTTATCCGATCGTTCCGCAGGTGGCGGACAGCAGTGCCTGATCGAGAGCGTTTGCCCTGGATGGATGAGGCACATGTGCCCGCAGGAGCGCAAAACCGCTGATATCAGCCGTTTCGATAACGATAAGATCTTCCAGGTTTTCCGGCGGGTTTTCCCGCAGGATCGACAACTGAGCGGGTGTTAGGACCAGCATGGACAGTCGTTCGGCACCTGCTGTGCGGTTGTTCAGGCTGTAGACGGCTTCTCCGGCCGAATTGAACAATCCTATCGACCAGAAGGATGTTGGAATACTGGCATCGAAGAGGACCGGTCCGTCAGCGAGCTGAAACCGGCAGGTGGCATGTTTCATGGCCGGATCAAGATCGGGGAGAGCTTCCTGCTGTGGACGGACGTCGGGAAGCAGGTTGAATTCCCGGTCTGGTCCATAGGTCGCGATGTTGTCATAGGCGCTGTGCTGCACATTCAGCGGAATTCCCATCACAACCAGTATGTGGACGATCGTTGCGAGAAAGAGAACGGAAAACACAGCAAGCGTGATTGAAAAGCGCGGGGACAGCGTCATGGGCACCCCAATCTTTCAATCACCGGCAGTGTAATGCCGTCCAGTGCGGCACCGGTCGTGACCGGAGCATCATACAGCCGTAACACGAAGCGCATGCCATCACTGGCTTTTGCGCTGGCGGCTAGCGGCAACCAGTTTCCCGAATGCGGTTCGCTGGCCGCGTTGATTTCAAAGGACCCGTCCGGATTGCGCAACAGGTTCTGGCTGTCGAGATGGACCCTGCCGGGACGGGTCTCCACCAGGTGTCCGTCACCGTCCGTTGCCGTCATCGTCCAAAGTCTTGCCGTGGGCGTTTGGCCGGAAATCCGGTAGATACAGGTTGGATCGAGCAAATGCCCCGACCTGTCTTCGCGGGCGACCAGTGCCAGTCCTTCACCTGAAGCCAGCGGAACGACAGCGCCCCTCGTATAGATTGCAACCGAATACGGGTCGGCTTCCGCCGTTCCGGCTTTCGGATAGGCCCGCCAGGATCCGATTGTGACAGCGTTCAATGGCTGTTCGCGCTCGATCATGATGTAGGCCGAGCCGATGCCCAGAAGCGACGCAAGTACCACGATCAAAGTCAGGAATGACAGCGTCCTCAATGGATGGCTCCGATGAGGTCGAATGGCTCGGGGCAAATCCTGTTTTTGCCAGTCCGCTTCGCCGAAATGTGTTTCCTGAGAAGGCAAAGTGGTGCCGTTCATCGGGCGGCCGCGAAATCGGTTGGGGCCGGTTTGCCGCTATCTGCCCTGGCGTTTTCCTTTTCGATCAATTGCCTCAGCTCCCGACCGATGCGAAGAAGCAGTCCCTGCGTGCGCCGCTTCAAGACACGTGGTTGCGAGAAAACAGTTGTCGATTCCGCTTGTTTTGCCGCAGATGGCCGGGACAGGCGAGGGAGAGTTTCTGGATCGACGCCCGGCATCTTGGCAAGCTCGATCCCGTTGTGAGCGTAGTTCATGTAGAGCTGCCAGGTCATTGCCGGAAGGCTTCCACCTGTCACCCGTCTGGTGGAGGTAAAGTCATCGTTTCCGACCCACACGGCTGTCGAGAAATTTCCGGTGTAGCCAACAAACCATGCGTCCCGATAGGCGTTGGTCGTTCCTGTCTTTCCAGCCGCGACCACGCCGTCAATCCGTGCACGCCTGGCCGTTCCTGCCTCGACGACATTTACGAGGATGCTGTTCATCATGTGAACCTGTTCTTCCGGCAACACTCTCTTGGGCTCGAAAGCTTCATCCCGTTCCCGCCGGTAGAGCAGTTTTCCGTCGCTGTTGCGCACTTCCAGAATGGCGTAGGCCGGTGCGGCATAACCACCGTTTGCGAATGTCGAATAGGCGGAGGCCATGTCGATCGCCGTGACTTCCGATGAACCGATCGGCAGGGAAATGGAGTTTTCCAGCTCATGGGTCAAGCCCATCGCATAGGCGGTTTCGATGATCTTGTCGCGACCGAAATCGAGCGATAGCCGCACGGGTATGGTGTTTATGGATTTTGTCAGCGCCGTCCGCAGGCTTACGGGGCCGCGATAGCTGCGCGTGTAGTTCTTCGGAGACCAGTTGCCGATCCAGACGGGACGGTCGGGGACGATGCTTTCTGGCGTGTAGCCATTGAGAAAAGCAGTCATATAGACAAACGGCTTGAAAGAGGAGCCGGGCTGGCGAAGTGCGTTGACGGCCCGGTTGAACTGGCTTTGCCCGTAAGAGCGGCCTCCGACCATGGCCACGACCGCACCGTCCGGTATCATCGAGACCAGGGCCGCTTCGCCCGCATCACGCAACTTGCCGTTTTCGCGCAAGATTGTTTCAACCGCGAGATCTGCCTGCCGCTGAAGGGCCGGATCGAGTGTCGTGCGCACGGTCACGATCCTGTCGCGCGCCAGAGCCGGATGCCTCCTGGCGAGTTTCTTGACTTCTTCCAGGCCCCAGTCGAGGAAGTATTCAGGCAGTTGATCCTGGGAGCGGTCAACCGCGAGCGCCGGATTGCGACGTGCACCGATGACCTGACCTTCAGTCAGCAATTCCGCCTGCACCATGTTCGTGAGCACTTCGTTGGCCCGTGCGCGCGCTGCCGGCAGATTGATATGCGGTGCAAATTTTGTAGGCGCCTTGTAAAGCCCGGCCAGCATGGCGCTTTCTGCCAGTGTCAGTTCACGGACATTCTTGTTGAAATAGAATTCGGACGCCGCAGTTACACCGAAGACGCCGCCGCCCATGTAGGCCCTGTCGAGATAAAGCTTCAGAATTTCCTGCTTGGTGAGATTGGCCTCCAGCCAGAGGGCAAGGTAAGCCTCCTTGATTTTGCGGCTCAGACTGCGCTCGTTGGTCAGAAAGAGGTTTTTCGCGAGCTGCTGTGTCAGGGTTGAACCGCCCTGGACGACACCACCGGCCCTGGCGTTTTCGACCATGGCCCGGAATGTGCCGACGCCGTCGATGCCGAAATGGTTGAAGAAACGCCGATCTTCAGTTGCGAGCGTCGCCTTGATGAGTGAATCGGGAATTTCCTCAAGCGGAACGCTGTCGTTCAGCACGATGCCTCTTCGCCCGATTTCCTTGCCGAACCGGTCCTGGAACGTGACTGCAAAGTCGTCTGTCGTCTTCCAGTCGGCATAGCGGGTCGCTTCAAAGGCCGGTTGGGCAAAAGCGAGGACAATGATGAAACCACCAAGGCCGAAAGTCAGACCGTCAGATGAAAGCTCGGCAAGCCCGCGCCATATTCCTTTTGCGCGAAACCGGCGCAAAAAGGCATCGTAGCCTTCAAACAACCGGCGAAGGGCAGACCCGCTTTTCCACAACGCGGTATCCACAAAGGCGTCCATCGACAGAAAGAAACGCCGGATCCTGTGCGTCTTGTGCGGCGCGCCATTGTTGGCGGGTTTATTTGAATGCTGTTCTTGTGCCACGCGAACAGGATCTCCGGATCAGGTGCAATACAATCAAACTAGCTCTTTTTGAACGGCGTGAAAACCGGTCTCCAGGGGCATCAACAACTGCTCCCAGATTATTGATCCCGTTGGCAGAAGCGAGGGCGCGCATCGTGGTCACATGGATCCGTGTTGCCGTGCCGGTCTTTGCGTGATAGGCGCAACAGGCCAACCCCACTCATCCAGGCAGGCCCATGACCATTGTGTCCAACAATAATGAAGAAACTGCACCGTTCTGGAAAACGAAATCGCTGGACGACATGTCGACCAGGGAGTGGGAATCTCTTTGCGACGGATGCGCACGCTGTTGCCTGAACAAGCTGGAAGACTGGGACACCGGCGAGATCGTCTGGACCAATGTCGCCTGCACCCTTCTGGACGGTGACAGCTGCCGCTGCGTCGACTACGAAAACAGGGCAGCGACCGTGCCGGATTGCATTCAGCTGACACCGGGAGAAGTGAGAACGCTGACCTGGCTGCCGCCAACCTGTGCCTATCGACTGGTCCGTGAAGGACTGGATCTATACTGGTGGCACCCCCTGGTTTCCGGTGAAAGCGACACTGTGCATCAGGCCGGCATTTCCGTGCGAGGGAAAACCGTCCCGGAGGACGGTATGGAACTTGACCAATATGAATTTCATGTCGTGACGTGGCCCGGTGAACTTCCCGGTGGGGATTGACAACCCGTCCTTCAGCCTGTCAGCAGAAAAGCCTCAACATGCCGGCGCAGTCTGGCTTCAAGTTCCGAACGATCCGTCATCTGATGACTTTTCAGCAGGATTGCACCATGGATCATGAAGGCAATTAAGCCGTCCACCATTTCCTCCGGGGTCCTGTCCTTGCGCAGTGCCGGTGAAAGGGCTTTCGAGCCTTGCCATTTTTCGAGGAAAGTAGCCAGTTCGGCATCGAGGGCATCCAGCGTCTCAACGAATTCAACCGCGCAATTCGGCTTGGTCACTCCGATATTGTCCAGGAACAGACGCAGGATCGTGGGACTGTCCGTGATCACTGAAATCAACGCCATCATTCGCTGGAGGAGCAAACCGACCGGATCCGAAAGGTCGAGTTGCTGACTGGCCTCTGTTTCCGGTCCCGTCCGCAGGGCCTCGAGCCTGTCCCGCAGCACATATGACAACAAACCGTCCATATCGCCGAAATGGGAAAAAACGGTTCCTTTGGCGACACCTGCTTGTGTGGCAACAGCCTCGGCGGTCACCAGTTCCAGGCCATGCCTATCGCTCAATTCCCTTGCAGCCTGAAGTACTCGGGCACGGGTGGCGATGCTGCGTTGCTGGGGTTTGCGTGTCATGTGACCTCATAAAAATGACCGCGGTCAAATAATTCTTGACCTTGGAGCATAATAGTGTCAAAAAATGACCGTGGTCAATTTTTATGTAGGCAAAAGCCATTCAACAAGAGAGTGAGAAGATGACACGCATACTGGTTCTCGACGGACATCCTGCGAACGGATCCTTCTGCAGTGCCCTGGCGGAAGAATATTCGCGGGAAGCCGGAACAAAAGGACATGAGGTTCGTGTCCGGCACCTGTCAAAGCTGGACTTCAATCCCGACTATGGCACATCGGATTTCGACCAAGGCCCGCAACTGGAGCCTGACCTGCAGGCATTTTGGGAAGACATCACATGGTGCGAGCACATCGTGATCGTTCACCCCCTCTGGTGGGGCGGGCATCCCGCCAAGCTGAAGGGACTGTTTGACCGGGTGCTGCTTTCTGGAAAGGCATTCAAGTATGTGAAAGGCAAAACCATACCGGAAAAGCTCCTCAAGGGGCGCTCGGCCGAGGTGCTTGTCACGGCTGATACCCCCGGATGGATCTTCAAGTGGATATACGGCGCCGGTATCAGGAAACAGACCGAAAAGCAGATCCTGGCTTTTTGCGGTTTCAAGCCAAAGGGTTATCACGTGTTCTCGCCGATCCATGGATCGGACGATGCAGAGCGGACAAAAATGCTGTCACGCGCTGGCCATCTCGGCCGCAGGGCCGCCTGACCGGCCGGACTATTTCGTTGCCGTCGCTTTCTCCGCGGCGGCACCGGCCTCCTGGTGCTTCCTTATGTTGTGGAACACGACATAATACTGATAGATATTGCCAACATACTCGATCGGCTGCCGGCCAATTTTGGCGGCGACAATCCACTCCACATTGCCAAACCATTTATCAGGGTCATAACCCTGTTTTTCTGCCTGTTTGCGCAACTTTTCAAAGCGGCTGGGTCCTGCGTTGTAAGCTGCAAGCGCAAAAAAGGTCTGGTCGGCCTGGTCGCCGGCAAGGTCAGCAAAATACTGGTCTGCAATGTGACGCAGGTATTTCACGCCTGCGTGGACGTTCTTGTCGGTATCTGCCGCAATCCCCCTGATGTTGATGGGATCTCCTTCTGCCGTTGAAGGCTTGATCTGCATGAGACCAACCGCACCGGCTCGGCTGTGGGCCTTGGGATCGAATCTGGATTCCTGGAAACTCTGCGCCGCGATCAACAGCCAGTCGAATTTGTATTCTTCTCCGTATCTCTCGAACAGTTTGGTGAATTTCTCCAGATCGGCTTGGTAGCTCTCGTCACGCATGTTCCTCAGGTAGTCGGCTTCCTGGAGATACTTCTTGAAAATCAGATTGCCGAGCAGGGTCCCTTTCTTCACCGTCGCAGCAAATCCGTTGATTTCTGCAAGAAGCGCGGGAGCATCGCTTCGAACTGCAATTGCAATTTCACCATCCGTGCGTATCGCAGCCTTGGGGTGCAGCTTGAGACCCTCCAGAACTTCCAGCCACAGCTCCGCCTTGTGTTGGTCGACGATCGTCATCGGAACCGTTCCTGCGGCGACCATTTCCAGAATATCTTCATCTTCAAAACGGTCGTCCGCGAGCGCGATTTGCATGGTTTTTGTACCATCGCGGGCCCATTTCCGGTTCAGGGCTTCCAGACTTTGATAGTAGGAAGCCGACTTTCGGACATATATCTTGCGCCCGGAAAGATCTTTAGGTGCGGTTAGTTCCGGCTCGCTGTCGAGTGTTACCGGAACTTCATGGACGTCTTTAAGAAGCGGTGCTGAAAAGCTGACCAGTTTCCGGCGCTCCTCGGTAATCGTCAGGTTGCCGACTGCCATGTCGCCCCGGCCATCGGCAAGTTTTGAGAAGAGTTTTTCGCGTGGCGTCGGGATCAACACGATTTCGAAGTCTGCAACTTTCTTGCCGTGCAATTCATCTAGGTGCTTCCCGAGTTCCGTCATCAGGTCAACGGAACTGCCCCTTTGAACACCCTTGTCGATGAAAAAACCCGTTTTCGAAAACGGAATGAGGACCCGCAGGTAGCCGCGTTCGAGAATTGCTTCGAAGTCGCCGTTGAACCGTTCGGTCAATGTTGCCTCGAGCGATTCAGCCAGTTGTGTGTCGTCAGCGAAAGCGCTTGCATTCACAAGGATGGCCGGCAAGATGAACAGAAGTGCAAGTATATTCTGTGCGCGTGCCGCGATAGTTCTTGTAAAAATCATTGCCAGAAAACCCCGAAAACAAAAAATGCTTTGGGATGTTATGCGGGCTACCCGCTTTCTTTCAAGTGTGAATGTAGAGGGCTTTGTTTCCGTAGAGTTATTTTTTGAAGGTCAGGTCGACAGTGCCGATCGTAAACCCTGCCTTCATGACCCTGGCGGTGTTCCGCACCGTTCTCCGGTCAATTTGTGTCAGTGTGTCGTCGAATTTCAGAAGAAGCGGGCCATTTTCCGTTTCCAGTTCCGCGACATAGGAAAATCGTAGCGCGCCGTTCCCGTCGGTTCTCACATTTGACGGGGCGATCACGTCGGCGCGCTGGCCGATGTAGCGTCCGTTGGCTACCTTTTGAAAGAACCAGGTCTTGGTATCTCTTTCGCCATCCTCGTAAACAAAGTCCTCGCGAAGACGAAGCGTGAAGGTGCGCGCATTCCATGTGCCCTTGAGGTAAACAGTGAAGGGACGATAGACACCAGCGATCTTGCTTTCAAAAACGCCCTTTCCAACCGTCTTGCCGCGAAAGAATTCCTCGAGCACAAGCTGCCCCGCCAGAGCGGGCGATGCTGTCGATGCAAGCAGGAGAAGGGAACAAACGAGAGCATTTCGCAATGATGTCATCTAAGCAGAACCTTTGATCATTCGACCTGCGCAGAATACGTTGCTTTCATTCGATCGGATTTATTCAGGTGTCGAATTTCTGATGCCAGGTGGGCACGGGATCGCCTTCAGCGGGGGAGGCGTTGTAGATCCCCCTGGCGATTGCACGCGCCAGACAGGATGCGGCAGCAGCACCCAGCCGGACCATGTCTTCCAATCCGCTCTCCAGCCCGCGTTGACCTGTAGAAAGCGCAAACACCAGATCACCATCCAGCGGAGTATGAGCAGGCCACAAAGCCCGGGCCAGTCCGTCATGAGCCATGACGGCAAGCCGTTTCGCTTCGCCCTTGGTCAGAACGGCATCGGTTGCGACTGCCGCTATCGTCGTGTTTGCACCCGCTTTCAGCGCATCCAGCTTGGTGCGCACCTCAACTGCGTCCTGCGGGAACGGGTTTGCAAGTCCGCGGCCGCCGAATTCTCCGCCGACTTCAAAGGGAGCGGCCCAGAAATGAGCACTGTCGCCTATTGTGGCGCGGCCGAGCGCGTTGACCGCCACGATCGCTCCGACAGTGACACCGTTGTCGAGAACCTGTGAGGCGGATCCCAAGCCGCCCTTGAGATTGGCAGTGGTTGCGCCAGTTCCCGCACCGATTGATCCGAGAGCGAAATCATATGACATCGCGTCGAGCGCGGAGCGACCCAGGTCGCGATAGGGCGCTGCCTGGCCCCAGCTCTTGTCGCCGCCATTCAGCAGGTCGAACAAGATGGCTGTCGGCACGATGGGCACACGGACCGGTCCAACGGCAAAACCGTATCCCAACTCCGCCAGTCGTCCCTGAACGCCGGCGCCTGCGTCAAGACCGAAGGCGGATCCGCCTGCCAATACGATGGCATCGATTTTCTCGACCGTCTGCTCGGGTTCGAGCAACGCGATTTCACGCGTTCCAGGGGCTCCGCCATGAATGGCAACGGAGGCTACGGCTGGTTCCTCTGGTACGAGAACGGTTGCCCCGGACTTAAGCTCCGTGTCGGTCGCGTTGCCGACCTTCAGGCCTGGGACGTCAGTGATGAGATTGCGGGCACCTGGCATGAAGAATTGTTCCGGGAGTGAGAGGCAAGCGCAGTTTGGGCCGTCGCCGGTCAGGTGTCGAGGCTTTTGTAGCCGCGGCGAACATAAAGCAGCGATTTGCCCGGATCGGTCATGCGCAGATCGACTACCGTACCGACAATGATCGAATGCGTTCCCATTTCGGAAACCGAGTAGATATCGCAATCGACACTGAGCCTTGCACTGTCCAGCGCAGGACAGCCGGTCGCCAGATTGGTCCATTCGCCCTTTACAAAGCGATCCGGTATCTCCAGATCGAACCGGCCGGCAAAGGTATCCGAGATTTCCTGATGGTCGTGGGTCAGGGTGTTCAGGCAGAAACAGCGGTTCTTCAGAACGGCACTGTGCATCCGGGTCTGCCTGTTGAGGCAGATCAGAATGCTTGCCGGATCGTCACTTACCGAGCAGGCTGCGGAAACAGTCGCACCTTGCCGTCCGCCGGGGCCGTCCGTCGTTACCACGTGGACCGCGGCCGCGATGCGGCTCATGGCTTCCCGAAAGCTCGTTGTGTCGAGTGGCAGCCGGCTTGGTTCCGGGTCTTGCGTTGGCATAGGTTCTGCTCCCAAGGCAGGCTGCGGCTGAATCAGCTGGTTCTGAGTGTGTTGCCGGAGTTTAATCAGCCGGTCCTGCCGTGCCTAGGAAAAACCGGCGGATAGTTATGCGTGACACGTCTTTACCTTCACCTGACGTGTCTACCGTGGATTGAGATTTCCGACGTCCGGCGGTAGGGATGGACATGTGGTATTCAACGTCCTGGAGATCCGGATGACATTTCGTCAATTTGCGACCGGCGCACTTTTTCTTGCCGGTAGTGTTTATTCGGGCTCGGCATACCCTGATATCCCGATTGCAATTGCCGGTCCGATGGATGGACAATTCCGCGATCTTGGTGCGCAGATGCGGGCCGGCGCCGAACAGGCGGTGGCGGACATCAATGCCTCCGGCGGTGTCAATGGCGAACCGCTCGTCCTTGAAATCGCGGATGACGGCTGCGATGCCGACAAGGCTGTCGCAGTTGCCAATCAGCTCATCGGCAGGGGTGTCGTCTTCGTTGCCGGGCATTTCTGCTTCAATGCGTCCATCCCTGCCAGCGAAGTCTATGCGGATGCGGGGATCGTCCAGATTTCGCCAGCAACCACGTTGCCGAAGTTTACAGACGAACGTCCCGGACCAGGTGTTTTCCGACTGGCGCCAAGGGACGATCAGCAAGCAGACGTTGCCGGGCGTTTTCTTGTCGACAATTTTGGTGATGCCCGGATTGCTATCCTTCATGACAAGACCGCCTATGGCAAGGGACTGAGCGATGCGGTGAAAGCCACGATCAACAATCTCGGCAAATCCGAGAGCATTTCGCTCGGTTTCGATGCAGGGGAAGATGACTACCGTTATCTCGTTTCGCAACTTGGTCTGGAAAATGTCGGTGTGGTTTATCTCGGCGGCTACCATCCGGAAGCCGGGCTGATCAAGCTGGAGATGGTTCGGCAGGCACTGGATGCCGTGCTGGTGTCCGGTGATGCGCTAATGGCGGACGAATTTATCGCGGTTGCCGGTGCCGCTGGAAACGGTACCCTGCTGACCTATCCGGTTGACCCGCGCGATTTTCCCGGGACGGCTGCCGTCGTTGCAACTCTTGAAGAGGCCGGCAAACCGGCGGACCGCTATGCGCTGACGACCTATGCCGCTGTCCAGGCGTGGGCCCAGGCGGCAAACAGGGCAGGGGAAACGGGCATGGATGCGATCGCGGAAACACTTTCCAACGACGTTTTCGACACGATCCTCGGAGAGGTGCGATTTGATGAGAGAGGCGACAGCAACACACCTGGTTTCGTGATTTATGAATGGCGAGACGGCGCGCCCAGGGTACGGTGACACAAATCGGTCTTGCATTGAACACGTCGAACAAAGAGCGCGCAGCACCGGGCTTGCGCGCTCTTTGTTCGGGAAGCGTGTGAAACTCGTCAGCCGCGGCGTCCCGTGCCCTTGATCTTCAGGTTCACCTTGTCGGCATAAATCGGCAAACCGGCTTCCATACCGTAAAAGCTGCGGAAAAAACCGCCGGAAACCTCGAAACCGACACGGCCGTTGCCTTTGGTTCCGGTGATCGTGACCTCAAGTTTGGTGCGTTTCGTCTTGCCGCGCAGGGAAAGGACACCTTCCACTTCCGCCGAGTTTTTCCCGGTAATACGGATCCGGGTGCTCTGGAAACTGGCGACCGGATATTTTGCAACATTGAACATGGCCGAACTTTTCAGGAAGCCCGTCACCTTGTCGTTGTTGGTCTGAACGCTTGACAGATCGATGGTGACATTGACACGGCTTTTTTCCGGCCTGTTCTGATCAAGGATCATCTTGCCGGACACTTTCTTGAAGGCGCCCTTCACTGAACGTCCACCAAGAACACGCACGGTAAACCCTGTGTCGATATTGGCCGGTGAGAGCGTGTAGGTTCCCGAAATCGGGCCCGCGCCGGCCGGTTGCATCGGAGCAACGAGCGCAACAACGAATGCAAGAACAGTCAAAATTCCGGGAAAGCGGCCCGCAAGAATGGTGTTTGTGGAGCAAATGGACGACATTTCTTGGTTCCTTTCAAGGATCACAGGGCAATCTGGCGTTTGGAAGCTCCGACGTCGGGCTCTTCAAGTCCTTGCTTCCTCGGCCATTGACCTTGCGAATTTCGGCATTCCAGGCGCTGATGCCCAGTGACGTCCGTCACAAGCAATGCCCTGACCACCTTTCGTCTACGTTGCGTTCGAACACCTGGTTTGCGGATGTCGGGTGATTGAACGGCACGTGAACACGGAGTTCCGCGTTAACCCTTCGGTAAGAAAATAGCGGCTCCGCAGTTCTTTCAAGGGACCGAACGCGATAAATTCCCGGAAAACCCGGGAAGTGTCATGCGTCTATTCTCTTGTTGCCGGCTTGCAGTGTTGCTTGTGCTGTTGGTTTCGTTGAACGGCTTTCATCCGTCCGCGGCCGCCGCCGAACTTGTCGGATTTTCCGACAACAGGTTCAGGCCAGGCACGATCGTCATCAGAAATTCCGAAAAACGCCTCTACCTCGTGTTGCGTGGCAAGCGTGCAATCCGTTATCGGGTCGCTGTTGGCAAACCCCGCAAGGCATGGACAGGACAGGCGCTCATCACCGCGAAATACATCGAGCCGGACTGGTCGCCGTCCCCTGAAGTGCGCCGTGACTTTCCGCATCTGCCCGACGTGATCCGGGGCGGTGCACACAACAATCCGATGGGTGCTGCTGCGATGACCCTGTCAAACGGGAACTACGCCATTCATGGAACCAACAGACCCGGGTCGATAGGCCGGGCGGTTTCCTATGGCTGCATCCGCATGGCAAACAATGATATTGAGGACTTGTTTCAAAGAGTGGGCGTCAGAACACCGGTGGTCGCGCTGCCTTGAGCTTGGCCAGGCTGTCGCAGGGACAGCTTGCCGCATTTAGTTTCGAAAGTTTGAAACTATCTTGAAGCCGGGCCCTTTCCGGCCCACAGAATGACCTCGCCGGTTTCAGTGCCCCAACGCGAAACCGGTGGGGTCTTTTGCCTTGAAAACCCCTCCGTTACATCTTGCGACAAACTCACCATCGATCCGGCACATCTCTGCGACAGTTGTGCGGTAAAGTTTCGCTAAATCCCAGTTTGGGTTTTTGAACTTGCGGAGCAGGGCAGTGATTTTCAAAACCGTACTGAATTCAAGGATTTTCCTTTGGACGCTGCTGGCGATCCCGTCCATTCCGATGATCCTGGCGCTTGCCAACGGCGCAGTTTCCGAGGACGGGCGCCCGGCGACCGAATTTCTATTGCATCCAACCGGCGAGTTCGCGGCGCGATTCATGATCATTTCGATGATCATTTCTCCGTTCCGTCTGATGTTTCCAAAAAACGGTTTCTGGTTCTGGATGGTTCGCCGCAGACGCTATTTCGGCGTCGGGGCTTTTACCTATGCGGCCTTTCATACCGTTTTATATCTCATCGACATGGGATCATTGCAGGCCGTCCTTGGCGAATTCCTGGCGTTCGGCATCTGGACCGGCTGGCTGGCCTTTTTCATTTTTGTCCCAATGGCAGTGACATCAAACGACGCTTCCGTGCGCAGGCTTGGCCGGTTCTGGAAACCGTTGCAGCGCTTTGGTTACCTGGCTGCCGTGGCGACGCTTCTTCACTGGATGTTCGTGCACAATGAATTCGGCCCGGCCCTTGTGCACTTCGTGCCGCTGGCGCTGCTGGAAACCTGCCGGATCAGCCGGGTCTTCGGTTCCGGTTCAACTGCAGCCCCTGCCTGAGATGCATTTCCAATTTGAAAGGACGAAGTCATGAACCTCACGTTTCACACGGCCACTTCACTGCTGACCTGCATCTTCACATTTCCTGCGTGCGCAACCGGGATGTTCGAGTGCGAGGCGACGGAAAAGTCGGCCTGGCTCACGGAGACACAAGTCACCGAGAAACTGACGTCCGACGGCTGGCAGGTTCGCAGGATGAAAGAGGACGGCGGCTGCTGGGAAGTCTATGGAACCACTCCGGAAGGACAGCGGGTCGAGGTCTATGTGCATCCCGTGTCGGGTGAAGTCCTGCTGATCAACCAGCGCGGCACAATTCTCTATCGAAAAGAGAGCTGAAACCGGGTCAAAGCCACTTCTTCGGCTCCAATCTTGTTGAGATGTTCCGGTTGCCGGCGAGAGCCTCGGCGAGATCGGCAACCGCATCGAGGGAATGAGCTGCACGAAACTCGTCGACATGCGGCAGCATTGCCCGGATACCCTTGGCCTTGGCTTCAAAGCCCTCGAAACGAAGCAGGGGATTGAGCCAGACAAGGTGCCGGCATGACCTGTGCAGGCGGTCCATTTCCCGTTCCAGATCCTCATCCGTGTCCCGCTCGAGACCGTCGGTGATCAGCAGAACAGTAGGCTTGCCGGACAGAACCCTGCGCGACCAGTGTTTGTTGAAATCATGCAGCGCCGAAGCTATTCGGGTGCCGCCCGACCAGTCTTCCACGCCTTCAGAACATGCCTCCAGCGCTTCATCCGGGTCTTTCATGCGCAACTGCCGGGTGACATTGGTCAATCGCGTGCCAAACAGGAATGTATGTACATCGCGCCGTTCCGCGGTCATGCCATGCAAAAAGTGCAGAAGCAGGCGGGAATACTGGCTCATGGATCCGGAAATGTCGCAAAGCGCAACAAGCGGCGGGCGTTTTTCAGCCGGCTTGCGATGTTTGAGATCGATGATGGCACCACCCGCGCGCATGGAGGCTCGTAATGTTCGCCGGGGATCGATCCGTCCTTTCGGCGCAGAAGCAAGGCGCCGCAAGCGGATCTTGTCCATAGGCAAGGCCATTGCGCGCAGGGCGCGTTTTGCCGCTGCGACTTCCTCCGCCGTCATCTGGGCAAAGTCCTTGTTCTGCAACAATTCCTTGCCGGACACCGTGAATTTGGCATCGACCTCGACCTCGGGGACTGTTTCTTGCGCCACGCGATCCTTGGCAGCCTGAAAGGCCTGGGACACGCGGGTCTGACCTGCTTTCGGTTTTTCCGGTGCGCCGCGTGGTGGTGCAACCGGAGAGAGGATGGCGAGCATCTTTTCGATCAGCCCGCGGCTTTGCCAATAAATCCGGAAAGCTTCGTCGAACAGGACGCGGTGCTCACGTTTGCGGACAAATACGGAATGCAGTGTCCAGTAAAGATCGTCACGGTTTTCAATGCCGGAGACCTCAACAGCACTGACCGCGTCCACGACCGACGCCGGACCAACCGGGACGCCTGCCTTGCGCAAGGTACGGGCGAAATAGACGATGTTGTCGGTTATGCGCGAACGCAGTTCAGCGGGAGCCTGCAAGTGAGCCTCCCCGTTGCCCCGGCCCATTGCAAGGAGCCCAAACACCCGAGCCCCTCCGATATGGAACAGGAGGGCCTGACTGATGTCTGTAAGGAATTGCCGCCCCGTTGCGAGGGAACTCGGGGGAGGAGAGAATATGGTTCACAAAGGTCACAATCTCAGATCGCCGGCATTGATTGCACCTTAGGCACATCCTTGCGGATTTCATCGATCATGAGGCGGACCTTTGAACCTCGAACCCGCTCGATGTCATCCTGATACTTCAAAAGCACGCCGAGCGTATCGGATGCCATGTCCGGATCGAGCGCGATTTCATTGAGTTCGGAAAGGGCCGTCGCCCAGTCGAGCGTTTCGGCGACCCCCGGCTGCTTGAAGAGGTCTTCGTCCGCGCGCAGTTTCTGGACGAAAGCGACAACTTCATGCGCAAGACGCTCTGCCGCGCCCGGCACTTTTCTGCGGACGATCTCCAGTTCGCGTTCGGCGTCAGGATAATCGACCCAGTGGTAAAGGCAGCGGCGTTTGAGGGCATCATGAATTTCGCGCGTGCGGTTTGTCGTGATGATGACGATGGGCGGTTCGTCGGCTTTTACCGTGCCGAGTTCGGGGATCGAGACCTGACTGTCTGCAAGAACCTCCAGCAGGAAGGCTTCAAAGGCTTCGTCTGCGCGGTCGAGTTCATCAATCAGGAACACGGGTGCTCCGTTCAAGGAGGGCTCAAGTGCCTGGAGAACGGGCCGCTTGATGAGAAAGCGTTCGTCGAAGATTGATTTGGACAATTCCTGATGCTCGGTATCGCCAGCGGCTTCCGCGACACGGATTTCAACCATCTGTGCCGGGTAATTCCACTCGTAGACCGCAGACGCGATATCAAGGCCCTCGTAACACTGAAGGCGGATAAGGTCACGGCCGAGCGTGGTCGACAAAACCTTGGCGATTTCAGTCTTGCCGACACCGGCTTCGCCTTCGAGAAAAAGGGGGCGCTTCATCTTGAGGGCCAGGTGGAGGACAGTTGCAAGCGACCTGTCCGCGACATACCCCGCCTGATCCATGAGATGAAGCGTATCGTCGATGGATGCGGGAAGGGGAGTCTGGCTCATGGATCCTCCGGGGTGTTCTGATTTGTGGTCATTATATAGGAGCGACAACGAGAAGGTCAGCCCGGACCAAAGTAGACCAGACCCGGCACACCCGTGTTCCTCCTAATGGGCACACGCGTGCGAACCATCTATAAGGATTGAACGCGATTCAGGGGAGAGAAATCCGTGTCATACCGCAAGCTGTTTCTGGCAACCGCACTCGTCGTCGTGGTGAGCGGCGCTGCTCACGGCTCGGACGGGGCCTATCCTTCCGATCCTGTCAGCCTGGCAACGGGACTGGAACTTGCGGAAATTCACTGCGCGTCTTGTCACGCTGTCGCAATTGACGATACGAGTGCGCAAAATGGTGCCCCGGCTTTTCGTGACCTGTCAAAACGCTATCCGCTGGAAAGCCTCGAAGAACCCCTGGCGGAGGGTATCGTGACAGCTCACGACAACATGCCGGAATTCGCTTTCGCACCGGATGATATCGACGCATTCCTGGGGTACCTGACGTCAATCCAGGCCAGATAGATCCGAACAAACCGGTGGCGTAGACTTGTTAGCAGTATTGCGCGAATGCTGCTAAAATGCTGTTTGTAAACAACTATTCGCAAAAAGTTGGTTTTGGTTAACTGAGTATCCGTGACACTCTTTCTTTGCAGCAAAGAAAGGATTGGCATGAAAACCAGCTCAGACTTTGAAAAACGCATTTTGGGATACGGGCTTCTTACAGCCGAGATTCTCTACAGAATGCCGGATCATCCGAAGTTCCTGCAAAGCTTTCTCTGGCAAACAGAGGACCTGGCACCGCAGTTTCCCGAACTGACCAGGTTTCTGGATTTCTGGGAGAGGGAGATTGATGGGCGGATACATTCTGTTCGCGTCGCGCATCAGAATTTAATTGATCCCGTCGACTTCCGGTACGCAGAAGGTGAAATTCTGGTCCACTAGAAGGCGATGGATTTAGCGCGGTGTCAGGCCGAGGCCCTGGCCGCCGCGCATGATGTTTTTCGATTGAGAAGTGAAATCCGAACCTTCACTCTCATGCAGTACAAACCCGGGCAGGAGTTTCAGGGGAGCCTTGCTGGCGCGGATCGCACGGAGCACGATGCGTGTCGCCGGAGCGTCCGGACGCGGACGCAGCGGAATGACATCGATTGCGCCGAACCGGCCTTGAAGAACACTCAGAAGTTCATGAAGACCGTCCGCTCGAAAAATGACCGTAAGGCTTCCGCCTTCCCGGACGATGTCCGCCGCGGTCTTCACCCAGGGCTCAAGCCCGCGCTCGTCCAGCATGTGTGCGCCTGCTCGGCCCGATTTCGGTGACGCCCGGAACCTGTCGGCTTCGTAATAGGGGGGATTCATGATGGCGTGATCAGCCATCGTTGGCAAAAGGCCGTTGGCGTGGCGAAGACTTCCCTTTGCAGTGATATCAGCATGCAGCAAATCGATGCGATCCGCGAAATGGGTGTTTTCAGGGTCCTGAAGCGCTTTTTGAGCGAGAGATAAAACGGCCTCGTCGATCTCGACAAGAGTGACACTTATGTCCGGCAGGCGCGCAGCAGCACAAAATCCGGCAGTTCCGACACCAGAACCAAGATCGACAATTCGGCCCGTGGTTTCCACGGGCAAGGCAGCGGCCAGAAAGACAGCGTCCAATCCGGCGCGATGCCGGCCTTTTTTCGGCTGATAAACATAAACTCGTCCTCCAAGAAACGCATCATGCGTGACATCCCCGGAGGAGGGGTCCTGCACCTCCGTCATGTCAGGTATCGTCTCTTGCAGGTCGCAATTCGTGTTCCAGGCCAGCATCCCGAACAAGGTTGCGTGCCTTGTGGATCTGGTCCGCATCGACAAGAATCCGCCTTGGGATCATCGCCAGGGATCCTTCCATGATGCTCATATTGCCATCTGCGACAAAATGCTTGATGCCTGCCTCTTCGAGAATCGATTCCAGGAAGGAAATGAGGACCGGATCGTTTGTTCTGACAAGTTCTTCCATATGTTTTCCGGGCTTAGCGGCTAGAAGTGGGGCGCTTGCCATAAACGCCCTGCGGAACTGGTGTACAGCAAAAGCAGCTGTTTGTGGCATTTCAACAGTTTGTCATCGGACTGGCGTCTTGCCCCGGAAGCGTTCGCACCATATTGTCCGCACAAATATTCAGGGGAGTGCCATAAGTGGCCGTTGTCGCAACCTATTCTGACAGCCAGTCGCGCCGTCCAAACATACAATCGCTTGTGGACCTCGTGGCTCCGGGCATGGCCGATGTGAACGAGTTGATCCTCTCCAAGGCGGGCTCCAATGTTGAATTGATCCCGGAGATCGCCAAGCACCTGATCGCTTCTGGTGGCAAGCGGCTCCGCCCGATGCTGACTCTGGCCCTGGCCGATATCTTTGACTATCAGGGCAACGGTGATGTCACGCTGGCGGCGAGTGTCGAATTCATGCACACAGCGACATTGCTTCATGACGATGTCGTTGACGAGAGCGATATGCGCAGAGGCAAACTGGCGGCCCGCAAACTCTGGGGCAATCAGGCCAGCGTGCTGGTCGGCGACTATCTTCTCGGCCAGGCCTTCAAGATGATGGTCGATGTCGGCTCGCTTGAAGCGCTTCGGATCCTTTCAACTGCATCGGCGATCATTGCCGAAGGGGAAGTGCTCCAGCTCGGTGCGGCCAAGAACATTGCGACGACGGAAGCTGATTATCTGCGCGTCATTGAGGCCAAAACCGCCGCACTTTTCGCGGCGGCGGCAGAAGTCGGTCCGGTGATTGCGGGGCAGGATGACAGCATGAAACTGGCTGCACGTACCTATGGCATGGAGCTTGGATATGCTTTCCAGCTGGTGGACGACGCTCTTGATTATGGCGGATCCACGGCGGACCTTGGCAAGGATGTCGGCGATGATTTCCGTGAAGGCAAGATTACGCTTCCTGTCGTTCTGGCAGTCGCGCGCGGAACGGATGAAGACAGAGCTTTCTGGAAGCGCTGCCTGGAAGGCGACGACGTTGAAGACGGCGACCTGGAACAGGCAATCGATTTGCTGAAAAAACATGATGCCTTGAGTGACACGGTCATCAGGGCACGCGACTATGGTGACAAGGCCTTGAAGGCACTCGAAGCATTGCCGCAGGGGCGTCACAACGAGGCACTGGCGGACGCCGTGGCGTTTTGTATCGCCCGCGTGAGCTAGAACACATCCTTATGAGTGTCGGATCGATTGACCGCGAAGATTTCGCCGACTGAAACAGCGAATGGTGATCCGCATTTCGGCTCACCGAGGGCGCCGGTCAACACAGGTAGCTGGTGAATTTCACCGGCGCCTTGGGAGCCTTGTAGCAGTTTCAGGCGACGTTCCATCCTACCTGGTGCATCGCATCGCACTTGCGACGCGCCAAGCCGGATCACAGCTTCCGACAACACATGGACCCGATATTGCCGGGACGTGCACAAGATCCCAGTAAGACATTCGGCTGGCAAAGAGGCGGTACAATATTGCGCCCTGGCTTCTTGTATGACCGGGCATGCGTGAACTCACGTCAAAGCGCCGGCTGCAATCCACCAATTCCCAAACGAGGCTCGAAGTGCGCGCTCGACCTCCAGTGCTTCTTCTTGTTCACAAAGGCCGAAACAGGTTGCGCCGGAACCTGACATGCGCGCCAGTTTGATGTGATCACTGCCTTCGAGGGCTGACAAGGTGCTGTCAATCTCGGGACAGAGGCTGATTGCCGGTTCTTGCAGGTCGTTGCGGCAGGTCGCCAGATAGCTGGCCAGATGATCCGGGCTTTCAAACACTTCAGGCATCAATGGCATTGCCGGATTGTCGCGCCTTGCCAATGATCTGAAAACGTCGGGTGTTGAGACTTCAACCTTTGGATTGACCAGTACAATGCCGCATTTGGGAAGTCGCGGCCCCTGCCGAATGACATCACCGATGCCAGCCATGATTTGCGGTTCCTGGTTCAAGCAGACTGGCACATCGGCCCCAAGCGAAAGGGCAAGTTCGTGCAAAGTGTCTTCGGCGAGATATTGACCGGTAATGTCCTCCAGCAGCCGCAGCATCGTTGCGGCATTGCTTGATCCGCCCCCGATCCCCGAAGCAACAGGCAGTCGCTTGGTGAGATCAATGCGAAGTTTGGGCGCTGGAATCCCGCTGGATTTCGCAAACGCCGCGACGGCCTTCACGATCAGGTTTTCCTCCGCAGGACCGTCGAGATTTCTGGCAAACGGGCCGTTGATGATGAGCTCAAGTCTGTCGGCAGGTTCTGCGCACAGACGGTCGCCGATCTGCGGAAACGCGACTAGAGAATCGAGTAGATGATAGCCATCCGGACGTTGCCCGGTAACATGCAGCGTCAAGTTGACTTTCGCCCGCGCGAGTTCAACCCGGCGCTCCACCGATGTGTGTGTCACCTGCGTATTCCGTTCAGCCGCCGTTCTGGTCACTTTCGGCTTTTGCCGCATCCGTTCCGGGAACGTCGGTCATGCCATTGGCAATCTTGTCGAGGATCTTGGGAAGGTCCTTTTCCGCAGGACCGAGATCGCGGGCATGGTTCCATTGGAACCGGGCCTCGTTTCGACGGCCGACCATCCAGTACGCATCACCAAGATGGTCGTTGATGACAGGATCTGCCGGGCGGAGCTCGATGGCGCGCTCGAGTTCCTTGACAGCTTCCTCAAATCGGCCGAGCCGGTAGTAGACCCAACCCAGGCTATCGACGATATAGCCGTCGGTCGGGCGCATCTCCACGGCGGTCCGGATCATATCCAGCGCTTCATCCAGCTTCAGGCCCTGGTCGACAAGGGAATATCCGAGATAGTTCAGGACGAGTGGCTGGTTTTCGTTGAGTTCAAGAGCCTTGCGAAAATCTGCTTCTGCCTTGTCCCAGTCGCCGAGACGTTCACGGCTGATGCCGCGGAAGTAGAGCAGAAGCCAATGCTGGGCTTCAAACTCCGATATCGTATCGATGCCCTGGGAGTAGATGACTTCGGCTTCGTCATAGATTTCGTGCGAACGCAGAATATTGCCAAGCGCAACGACCGCCTCCAGATCTGACGGATCAATCTCGATCAGGGCCTCCAGGTGCTTCCTGGCTTCGTCGACTTGCTCCAGTGCGTTGTAGTTCAGACCGACCTGGATTTCCGCTTCGCGTTTCAGGACGCTATCGTCAGGGACCCGCATGAAGGCATCGATCGCGCGGGCGGGCTGGTCCATACGTTCAAAAACGCTTCCCAGTGCTATTGCGGCGAACTCTGCATTCGGGTCCAGATGCAATGCGAGTTGAAGATAGGACGTCGACAGCTCTTCTCCGCCATCGCGCCCGATGACCGCGCCCAACCCGTAAAGGATCTCGGCCATGCCCTGGGCCGGGTCCGATACCATGGGCGGAATAATTTCACCGCTTTCCAGCACTTTTCTGGTCTGGGCGATTTTCGGATGACCCCTGAATTGCTGGTCGTATAGATCGAGTGCGGCGATGGCCTCTTTCTGTCGGCCGTTGGCGGCCAAGATGCGCGCGTAGGCGTCCACGACGCGGATTGCTGCCTGATCAAGTGCATAGGCACCCTCGATGGTTGCCAGCGCCTCCTGATTTTTGCCGGCTGCGAACTGCAGATGGGCCTTGTGGGTCGCCTTGAAAACGCCAAACCAGTCCGGGCCTTTCAGATCATCGATGATGGCCAGGGCTTCGTCGACTTTTCCGCTGCCATATAAAGACCAGGCCCGGGAGATCCCGATGGAAAGCTGCGCGAGCGGACCATTCCTGCCTCTTTCGAGCGCCTGATCCGCTTCGATGTAACTGCCGTCTGCAACGCGCTGACCACCGAGAGCAAGCTGTGCGAGAAAGTTTTCAAGACCCGCCTTTTCAAGCTCGGCGGCATAGTGAACGGCCTCTTCGACGTCACCATTGGCCAGCTTCAGCAGAAAGGTTCGCTCCAGAAGCATCGTGTTGGTCGGGTCGGCTGCGAGCGTTTCCTCGTAGAAAGCAGCGGCATGTCCGTAGTCTTTCTGGAAGCCTGCGAGCCGGCCTGAAAGATAACTGCCCGAAAGCGTATACGGCAAATTGGAAGGGGTTCCGAATGACTGCGTCTTCGAGTCGGTTTCAGCACCGGCTGCGAGAGGCGTCAGGGCGATGGCGCTTGCCAGCGCGAGGACCTTAAACCTGAAAATCTTGCGGTCCTTCAGGGAAGCGGCGCCAGCCAAATTTGTCATCATTCCTCGCACTTTTCGATCGATGGGCAGATTGGATCGTTGCTTATTACTCTTGAGAATGGCGTCTTTAAGGCTCTGCGGCAAGGCGACCCCGGAAACTTTCTGAGGGTTTAAATCCATTTGATTTTGCCCATCGTGGAAATTCTTGCGAGTTAAATCGAAACAAATCGGCAATCCGCCAAAAAGGGCTTGAAGACATTTCTTTGCCGTAGCAGTTATGTGCGGTGCAAAAATTGGCGGAACCGGAGCGTCTCCGGTGCCTTGCGAGGAGAATTTCAAATGGCCAAATGGGTCTACAGTTTCGGCAATGGTGTGGCAGAGGGTGCAGCGGAGATGCGCAACCTTCTCGGTGGGAAGGGCGCCAACCTTGCTGAAATGAGCAGCCTGGGCCTGCCGGTGCCTCCCGGTTTCACAATTACGACAGAAGTCTGCACCTGGTATTACGAACACGGGAAAACCTATCCTGAAGCTCTCCGCGCGCAGGTCGTCGAAGCGCTTGAAAAGATCGGTTCGAACACAGGACGCAAATTTGGTGATCCCGAGCGCCCGCTTCTTGTTTCCGTACGGTCGGGAGCAAGGGTCTCGATGCCGGGCATGATGGACACGGTCCTCAATCTCGGGCTGAACGACCGGACTGTCGAGGCGATAGCCAGAGAAGCCGGCGATCGCAGGTTTGCCTATGACAGCTACCGCCGTTTCATTCAGATGTATTCGGATGTGGTTCTGGGGCTCGACCATCACGAGTTTGAGGAGATCCTTGAGGAATACAAGGAACGCAACGAACTTGCGCTTGACACCGAGATCGATGCCGACGCCTGGCTTGGGATCATTGAAAAGTTCAAGGCACTGGTTGAAGAAGAACTGGAAAAGCCGTTTCCGCAGGATCCGCAGGAGCAGCTTTGGGGCGCAATCGGCGCTGTCTTCAGCTCATGGATGGTGCCGCGAGCCGTAACCTACAGGCGCCTTCACGATATTCCGGGCAACTGGGGCACTGCGGTCAACGTTCAGGCCATGGTGTTTGGCAACATGGGTGAAAGTTCGGCGACGGGCGTCGCATTCACGCGCAACCCGTCAACCGGTGAAAACGCTCTTTACGGCGAATTCCTGGTCAATGCGCAAGGGGAAGATGTGGTTGCCGGTATCCGCACACCGCAGGACATCACCGAAAAGGCGCGCATCGAGGCGGGGTCCTCCAGTCCTTCGCTCGAAGCGCTGATGCCGGCGGCCTTCGCGGAATTCAAAACCTACTGCTCAAAGCTCGAAGCACACTACAAGGACATGCAGGATCTGGAATTCACCATCGAAAAGGGAAAGCTCTGGATGCTGCAGACACGTGCGGGAAAGCGCACGGCCAAGGCAGCACTCAGGATTGCCGTGGATCTGGTGGAAGAAGGTGTTCTGGGTGAAGAAGAGGCAATAGGCCGGGTCGAACCTGGGGCACTTGACCAGCTTTTGCACCCGACGATCGATCCCGATGCCGAGCGTGACGTGATCACGACCGGACTGCCGGCGTCTCCCGGTGCGGCTTCCGGTGCGATCGTGTTTACGTCCGATGAAGCGGAAAAAGCAAAGGCGGAAGGGCGCAAGACGATCCTGGTCAGGGTCGAAACCAGTCCGGAAGACATTCACGGCATGCATGCGGCCGAAGGCATCCTGACAAGCCGCGGCGGCATGACCAGTCATGCGGCGGTGGTTGCGCGCGGAATGGGGAAGCCCTGCGTGGCAGGTGCGGGAATGTTGCGGGTCGACTACCGCAATGGTGTGATTAACGCTGCCGGGCGGCAGTTGAAGGAAGGCGACGTGATTACCGTGGACGGGGCGACCGGTCAGGTCCTGTCCGGTGAAGTGAGCATGCTGCAACCGACGCTGTCGGGCGATTTCGGCACGCTGATGGGATGGGCGGACAATGTCCGGCGGATGAAAGTCAGGACCAACGCCGAGACCCCGCAGGACGCCAAGGTTGCGCGTGAATTCGGCGCCGA